ACAATATGACGGCTACCAAAATAGGCATGCGAACCGTACCGGTGGCGACGGATATTATGGCAACGGTGATGTGTCAGAAGGTGCACATCACGCCGAGAACGGTCGTGAGCGGTACGGAGAAGGCAACGGCTTCCAGGGAGGATACAAGGGACGCGGTAGAGGAGCTCCTCGAGGAGCAACACGCGGTGCGTCTCGGCCTCCCCGCGCTCAACACTACACAAGGAGATCCGATAATGCTGAATAGTTAAGTGAACACACCAATGCATTGGTATGCCACATTTTATGGCTCAATCAATAATCGTCTTCGAAATTCTGATGGACTAAATCATTAGTGAAGGCAGATTTCACCGGCAACAACGCGCTGTGGTAACAAATAACGAGAGATTATGTTAAAAAAACAATAAAAAATTAATAAAAAAAAAAGAAAAATGTTAAAACTTGAAACTAAATAAAAATAAGTTTACTTGAATTTAGATGTATAATAATAATAATAATAATAATATGCGATTATTAAGTTACGTAATTCTAGATTCTTGTAATATAAATTGTGTCACGTAAGTGTCGTGATTCGAGGTAATGCAAGAAAAGCCTTTTAGGCGTCAAATACCTCGTGTGTGCCTCATCCTCGTGATAATTTTAAGTACAGGAACTGTGCACACAACTCCAAATTGTTAATATTTCCAAATATCGTTTTTATCTGATATAAATTATCCAAAATATGCCTAAACTAATCTTAATTTCATTAGATTATAATATTTGTTCTCTATTTTCCTTTTTTTATGAAAACTATCAGCATGTAATACCAGTGAACATAAAAAAAGCTAATTTCTATTCTTTTTTTATTTTTATTTGAAATGTTTTCAATAGAAGCTGTGTGCAAGAAAATTAAAAGTATTGTGTAAAATCTTAACTATTTTATTTTATTTCTTATCCTCAGCTGTATTGTGTAATATTTTACATCATGCGTGTCAGTTTGAAGCGTAGGCATTCAGGTAGTGTCTAGTTTAGTTCAATATTTATTAGAGAGACACTAAAAAGATCTCAGGGCCGGATGCTAAACGGTTACCGGAACGCAATGTGAATACTGTCACCCATCTTGAGCGATGAAGTCTAATTCTTAATTGCACAGTAAAACGGCCTTCCTACCCTTTTAGTCGCATTACTCCTTTGCAGCAGAAGTACAAATATTTTTGGATACATTAGTTACAAGACGTCATTCCACTAATTTGTGTATTATCTATGGTCATTTCCTCATCGTGGAAGCCGTTTGCGAACACGAGTTCGAAAAACTGTTACCTGACCTCGGATATTTTACTACCAGCATAGGCGTATCGCTCGATACAAGAAAATAGATCGGCCGTTTTATTCTTTAGGGCCACATGATTTAAAACGACTTTTTTCGTATCCATTCTAGTGACCTCGAGGGGTCATATTAGATTCGGGACCCTAACCTGTGGACGTTGCTAACATTAGCCCTAGCAAGATCAGTGCCTCGCAGAATCTACTATCGGATCGGAAACGCGACCCACTGAGAAGATCCGGCGAGAAACTCAGTGTATTGTGTCTGTGGGTTAATTTACTCGCCGAACCCTTCGTCGCACGCGAGGGCTTAGACGAGAACGGTGACCGGTGCTTGAGGTACCTAAAAGCACCGTTACTGAATTGGCAGGATCCGAAATGACGTGTTTAGGGCGACGTCGACCGTTTATCGAATGATAAACATACCACTGATATGTAGTTACCATCGGCTACGACAAGAGGATTTTTCTGTCGTGCCGCTTTCTCGTAATGGCGCACTGATGCCGACTGAAGATACTTACTAATGGAGACCAGCTCCATGTCACTATGGAGATCCACGTTCCTTCCGAACCACGGTACTTCGACGGCTATCCTGCAAGAACAGTATTGAATGATTTGAAGGGGTTTCACATTAGTGCGGGCTGCGTGAGCGAACCCTACACTTGTATAGGTCATGACACGGGGCCTATGCAAGTTTTGTAGAGTGTCACCTTATTACAAAGGTACAATTTACTTCGCTTGCAAATCATTGAATAGATTAAACGATTATACACGATTTTATTCCTTCGTGAGATGTGTTAATTGCAGGTTCCCATTTCCTTAGAAAGAATGGTAGGTACCAGCCTGCGGGATTTCAACGCCGGCATAATTGCATCGCACGGGCGAATTGGAACTTTTTTGTATTTATTTTTATTGCTAAGATGAGTGGACGAGCTCACAGCCCACCTGGTGTTAAGTGGTTACTGGAGCCCATAGACATCTACAAAGTAAGAGCGCCACCACCACCAAGTTTGGGCCTTAGTGAGCATTGTGTTAGACGAATACTCTAAAATTTGGGTGAAGCTCAAAAATGATGTCGCATCAATTGAGTCGCATAAATTTGTTGGTAAGAATTGATAGAGATGCTATGTTTGTCATCTCTATAGTTTAAGAAACCCTGGATTTATTGTTACGATCCCGAAATCTACTCCATTGCAAATATTCACCACACCTCTTCCAGTTAAATCCTAGAATCAATAAACACCGAAATAAATGAAATAAACCATAAATATGTAGTACAATATTTTATTTGATAAATTTCCATTTGTTATGTACGTTTTAACTTATAACAAAAAAGAGGATTAAAACGAATAGATCTGTTGAATCCTGAACAAAATAAATAAAGTTAAATTTTGTAAACTTTACCAGACAGAATCTATTATTTTACAACGCAACTTAACACTATACTTTCTTAAAATAAAAATAAACTAAAATTTTGTAGTAACCTATACAACCTAATGCAATTATACAAAATATCTCCTTACACTCTACTTAACTATAGTAGAAATATAATATCGTCGCATTTGTTCATTTATAAGGGCAGACTGCCAATTAACAAAACAAAAGTGAAATTATAGACTTATATTCGGAATGTTACACTGATTTTAATATATATCAAAGTAACAAATTACTTATCACAGCAACAGATTGCCCCATATTATATTGGAAAGTTTAGACCGACGAGTATAAAATTAATTGTTCATTAGTCGCTTTACTTCCATTTTCTTTGCTGTTCCTAGTGATGTAGAGTTGGAGACTTAAGAAATATGTTTAATTACATTATTGCCCCGATTTCGCAAATTATTCTAGAACCTAAAAGTAATATAATGTGAGATTTTTGCCACTCCTGTGCCATTAACTTTAGATAAAACAATTCTCATTTGTTTTTATAAATCACGTCAGCGCTTAATAAATTCGGCAAGGTTACATTTGTTCCATAAAAGAAATTAAAAGTTACTTTCATACCAGGTGTAAGAAAACAATTCTCTAAAAATGAAGACAGTGATTATTAACACCGTAACACAAATTGCGATTGAAAAAATGTTTTTCTGGTGTTTTGGCACTGTACGCAATGTACAGTAGATTGGGGGGAATAGAGAATAGAGTTAGAATAGGGACAAATCTGGGATGTCACCATACTTTTGTTGAGTTGTTAGATTTAACTTTGTTGAACTGAAAATGACTTTTATTTAGTGTTTAATAATATTAAATAGTTTAATTTAGTCATCAAAGTTTTGTAACTCATTAAAGGTATTAAAAGTTAATTACCTAAAGTAAGGTACCTACCTAACAACTAAATAGTGCCAGCCCTATCGAAAAACTATTGTGCCCATACGTAACCTGATTCACCCCAAAGCCAAGGTAAATTGAGTCAAACTAATTTTTTCAGCTTTTGTGTATATTTTGTAATGAACTATGTATAATAACGCATCGTATATAAAAATTCTTATTTATGGCTCAGAGACATGGGTACTCAGCAAAAAAGATGAGAACCGTCTACTTGTGTTCGAGCGTAAGATTCTAAGACGGATATTCGGTGCTGTGTAGGAAAACGAGATATGGAGGACGCGCTATAACCACGAGTTGTATGATGTTTACAAAGATCCTAACATCATAACAACTATAAAGATTGGACGCCTACGATGGGCAGGACATGTGGTTCGAATGGAGAGTACCAGAATGCCGAGACAATTGCTCTATGGCAAACCAGAGGGCCGCAGAAGTCGTTGCAGACCCAAACTCCGATGGTTGGATGGCGTGGAGCGCGACCTCAAAAATATCGGCGTCAAGAACTGGAAGGAGAAAGCCCTGAACAGAGCAGTCTGGAGAGACATATTGGACCAGGCTAAGGCCCACCCTGGGCTGTAAGGCCTAAGATGATGATGATGATGATGTATATAAAAATTTAAGCCTCCGGAACCATTTTAATATCAATTGGTATTACCCTAAGAAAAACCATTGAAAATTTGTTTTGGATTTGGAAAGGGTCCCGATTTCCCCGAATCTATGGTACCAATGAAAGTTTGTAACTCGGTCCCTGGTCGAGCCCAGGGATTTGGGGAGCGTCTGACAGCTGCCTTCGCGTTATATTACAGATTCATTTAATAAGAATTTACTAAAGCGACAAGCATAAATGCTTACCTGTAAATTTATATCATTTCTCGCATACGTATGTAAAGCAGTAAAATAAATCCCCGGTCGGCTTCGAGAACGGTAATCTTACACCCTGTACACAGGAGATATTTTTCTAAGGGTAAACGGTGGGTGACCCTGTAACTACAAGAGAGCGAAATATGTTTAGGGGTATCACTAAACATAACGAAGATAACTCAATTTGATTGACATTTTAAATGATCATGCGAGTAATTATTTAAATTGTTCTAAAAAGTCATTGTTAATATTCATAGAATCGTGAATTAGAATGATTTAATTCAGCCGTTTTGGATTGCATGTTTCTTTTATATAATATTCAATACAATAACCGACAAAGCAATAGATTAAAAAAATGTGTTTAATTTTTACCAAAATGTTTTTTGAAAAATTTTCGCTAATTCTTGTAGTTTCAGATTTGGCCCTACACACCCTTCCTTTGCTGATAATTCATTGTTAAAAAATTTTGTATATTACAAAAGGCGCTTTTTAAAAAAAATNTGGATTGCATGTTTCTTTTATATAATATTCAATACAATAACCGACAAAGCAATAGATTAAAAAAATGTGTTTAATTTTTACCAAAATGTTTTTTGAAAAATTTTCGCTAATTCTTGTAGTTTCAGATTTGGCCCTACACACCCTTCCTTTGCTGATAATTCATTGTTAAAAAATTTTGTATATTACAAAAGGCGCTTTTAAAAAAAAATCGAATACATGAACTTTCTTATGAAATGAGAGGGAAAAAAAACAAACGCTAAAATTATCAAAGATTGGCACTAAGAGTGTTTAAAATTAACTAAACACATCACAATTTAAACGATTAATACCATCCATACTCATTTGACAATATGTTACTGGTATAAAATTATAAAAACCTGCTCCAGGTCATTTGAGAACCATAATAAATGCTAAACTTTTTAGTAAACTCAAATTTGGTTACATACATTTTTGTATGTATTGTCACAATATCAAACCGAATTCCAAATTGTCCTTATAGTTTAACCGGTCACCTGTATCGACCATATTATTAGTGTTATATCATTTGTCGGGACATCGCGTGTCTCATTTTACGTTCCCAGGATTCCGCCTCAGCCCACGAATGCCTTACGTCCCGGAATAACTGAAAATATAAAATATTTCACAATTACGGAACTATTGTTAATTCAGGTATGTATCCAGTCCTTAATAGACTTTTGAAGAGTTGTCTTATTTGTTAATTTCGTATGCTTTGTCTTGATTAAATCACACATGAGTAAAATTTAATGAACAAATAATTAGTGACCTTGCAGAACAAGAAATCAATCGGAATATAACAGTGATCTTCATTAGTGTAATATCGATTGTCAATACAATATAAATATAAAAAAATGTGTGCGTGTACTAGTGTACACACGTAAGAAGTGAAACTTATTTATGGCCTTATTTTTCGAAAAATGATCTACATGCAACTTTCTAGAAATTGGTTAAATAAAGTTAAATTAGATAAAGTTTAAACAAAAGGATTTTATTATCATAGACATGAATACAAAAAAGTTAAATTAGATAAAGTTTAAACAAAAGGATTTTATTATCATAGACATGAATACAAAAAAGTTAAATTAGATAAAGTTTAAACAAAAGGATTTTATTATCATAGACATGAATACAAAACAGATGGCGCGTAACGGAAAAATGTGACGCGTAACCGAAAAATGTGACGGTAAATTTTTTTCCAACGCCGATAAGGAAGTTTCACTTCAATAAAGATTAAGTTAATTGTGTAACAATTGCGTCAATTACGTGACTATGAATATTCCTTGCCCTAACATTATAGTTCTGACATTAAAGTGGTGGTAAGAACTAATTAGAGTCGGCACGGATCGACAGCACTGTTGTTTCAGCCGCGTTGCAGTCTGAATAGTCGGCCGGCCGTTACACAATAGGCTGGCATTTACGTTATAATGTCTATGGACTTCGGTTGCCACTTAACATCAAGTAGGTCGTTAAATACCATTAAAATTTTGAAACATTTGTAGTAAAATTCAGGGACGACCCATTATATGTAGCTAGGTACTTTGCCAATAACTCTCCCTGAAGATCTATGGAGTATCACTTATATTATCATAACAATGGACTCCGGTTGCCACTTAACATCAAGTAAATCATTAAATGTCATGAAATTTTTGAAGCATTTGTTGTAAAATTCAGGGACGCCCCAACGTATGTAGCAGGCACTTTGTAAAGAACCCTCACTGAAGATCCATCGACAGTATAAAATTTCACACAGTTGATCTAAATTTAGGTCTGTTAATCATTGTATTACTTTAAGTTGATTGTAATGCTCATTATAAATGGATTAAGTTTCTATCAATATCACTACATAGTCAGTAAAACAAAGTCTATCAATATCACTACATAGTCAGTAAAACAAAGTCTATCAATATCACTACATAGTCAGTAAAACAAAGTCTATCAATATCACTACATAGTCAGTAAAACAAAGTCTATCAATATCACTACATAGTCAGTAAAACAAAGTCTATCAATATCACTACATAGTCAGTAAAACAAAGTCGCTTTCTCTGTCCCTATATCCCTATGTATGCTTAAATCTTTAAAACTACGCAACGGATTTTGATGCGGTTTTTTTAATAGATAGAGTGATTGAAGAGGAAGGTTTATATGTATAATAACATCCATTAAATAGTAGAGAAATTAATAATAAATTACAGTTTCCGAAGCGAAGCAAGAGCGGGTCGGTTATTAGCTATAATTTACCTGTGAGAGCCAAGCTTCATCCGCCAAGAGTTCGTTTAATATAACCGTCGTGTCCTTACTGGGGTTTTGCATTCGTTTTTCAGCCACTCGTTTACTACATTCTACATACATTAAATACTTTTGATGGGATATCCTCGAATACAGCTGTACTCTGCCGCAGCACGTGGCACATACAAGGAATTCCTGAAATACATGAAACAGAACATGTATTCTAATTAGGTGTTTTTATTTATTTATAGCATAGATGGGTGGACGAGCTCACAGCCCACATGGTGTTAAGTGGTTACCAGAGCCCACAGACATCTACAACGTAAATGCGCCACCCATCTTGAGATATAAGTTCTAAGATCTCAGTATAGTTACAACGGGTGCCCCACCCTTCAAACCGAAACACATTACTGCTTCACGCCAGAAATAGGCGGGGTGGTGGTACCTACCCGTGCGGAATCACAAGAGGTCCTACCACCAGGTGTTTCTAATATGTGGACTAAATCTGTCCAAATAGAATTTTCAAGCCAGTCAGTCCCATTTAAATCTGACAATTGATATCATCAAAAATTGTCAGGATTCAATCGCGTTATGGATAACGCGTATGTGAGATTGGTTTCCATCTCAGAGATAATATATGACTGTGTCTTTGTATCAGGGCATATCAGAACGGATCCAATAAGAATTCCGCCCTTAATAGTACATTGTGCAGCAAAGGAGAAAAGTTGGGATATTTCCTCCCGGGTGTAAAATTTGCCAAACACGTGGGAGGAAATGTCCAATATTTTTCCCGCGGTGCACATACTATTTTTTCTCCTACCAGGCCGAAAGTTCGTGGAGTACCGAGCCGGGGTCCAGGGGCGAAGCCCCGGTGGGGTCCAGGGGTGATGCCCTGGCGGGGGCAGGGAGCGGGCCTTTAACTGTTTTTTAATTTTTAAATAAACTACTACTAATTAAATAAGAACTGTCTGATGAACTCATCTTTGTTTAATACTTCACTATTAAATTTTATTGACTTTTGTTTATTTCACTTTTACACTAAACATCATATTGCAAATTACCCGAGCACAACAATGGCGGAGAATTTTAGACATTAACGCGCATACGCACTTTTACCCAGGGAGAAAAAGTTACACTTTCTTCCCTGTACAGCGGGACGAAAACCGAACTTTGGGCGTAGGTAGGAGAAAAAATATATTATATGGTATCCCATATCAAGCATTTACATACACATATCACTATTTGCTGCAAAAGATTAAGCCAACTGTATAATTACGTTTGTAATGTATGTGCAATTTGACGTCACTGTTCCATATCATTACTGCAGTTTCAGTTTATATGCAAATGTGAACTGACTAATAAGTCAATTTGTAAACGCTATTGACAGAATGCGTAATTTTCTTTTGTTATATACCGTAGAGTGGGAGGAATCGGGGCTCTTTCCAAATCCAACACAAATTTTCAATGGTTTTTCTTAGGGTAATACCAATAAAATTGAGATTAAAACGGTTCCGGAGGCTTAAATTTTTATATATGATGCGTTATTACACATAGTTCATTACAAAATATACACAAAAACTAAAAAAAACTAGCTTGACCCGATTCACCTTGGCTTTGGGGTGAATCAGGTTACGTATGGGAACAATAGTTTTTCGATAGGGCTGGCACTATTTAGTTGTTAGGTAAGTACCTAGCTTTAGGTAATTAACTTTTTGAAGTTTGAAAAATTGATGAGAGTGAAATTTTACGATGCGCGCGCACCGTGACACAAAATTAACAGAATGAAGTTGCCCACTAAATCGCTCATTACAATACGACCGACGTAACTTGGCGAATCTGAATATAATCGCAGGTGAACTTTCCGAACCGTACCGAGAATTACCGAATTTATACGATGTCAAGAAAAGGGATGTCCAATATGCGTGTTTGAGGATGATGTTTAATTGATTTTTTTTCAAATTGATTAAAATTTAAATAAAAAAAAATAAAAAAATTAATAAAAATAAAGTATAACTTCTTACGCGCGTACATAAGTACACGCAACCTTTTTTTTAATATCTTTAATGAGTTACAAAATGTTGATGACTAAAATAAACTATTTAATATTCTTAAAAGAAGTATTGTGACATCCCAGATTTGTCCCATTTCTAACTCTAGTCTCTATTCCCCCCAGTCTACTGTACACGTAAAACTACCATTCGGTTGGCGGGGTTAGCGTTGATCGTCAATGACAGGGCAGTGATCAGTTAGAGAGGTCACCTTCTCGTAAGCGAGTCTGGCGTCGGGCTGGACGGGGTCTAGCGTGGCGGGGTTGTAGGGCTGTCCGAAGAGCAGCAGCGTGGCGACGGCGGGGCGAGCGCACGCGCGGCACGAGCCGGCGCCGGCCGTCACGCTGAGGTTGGGCCACGTGGCCAGCGCCGCGTCCAGCGCCCGCCCGCTCGCCGCGCCCGACACCCGCGCGCGCATGCTCTCCGTCACCTCGTCCACTGTCTTCACGTTCGACAGGAAGTACTCATCTGAAACGTTTTAAATACAAAATTAAATAGTCTACAAATCTGAACATATCGACGCTCGAAAGGCGAACGTGACGAAGCGACAATAGCTGCTTTGTATATAAATGATAGGCAATAACCATATTCGATGCGCAAAAAAAATACATTTCTAGGTCTATTAAAATCATTTCAATCCTACAGCTAGATTCGTTAAAATAATTTTTTTCAGGTATTTCAACTTTAAATTAGTCTACTGTAAAGTTCACGCATTGTCGCTTAGTCACGTTTGCCTTTCAAGCGTCGATATGAGCATGAAACCTAAGTCAACTTCGGTTCCTTTTCTGCCCGGAATAGTAATTTGAAGACACTACATATTATTGTGCTTTGAGTGTCGCTCTAGTAGCTACATACTTGTTTTTACTAGTGATTGGACCTCTTGTGAGTCCGCACGAGTAGGTACCACCACCCTGCTTGTTTCTGCCGTGAAGCAGTAATTCGTTTCGGTTTGAAGGGTGGGGCAGCCGTTATAATTATACTTGAGACCTTAGAACTTATATCTCAAGGTGGGTGGCGCATTTACATCGTAGATATCTATGGGCTCCAGTAACCACTTAACACCTGTGACTATGCCAGGTGGGCTGTGAGCTCGTCCACCCATCTAAGCAATAAAAAAATCATGACTTTCTAAGACCATTTGGAAGAGATGAGGCAGTTAGCCAGTAGTAAAATACCAGTAATATTTTTTTTATTGACTTTGTAGGCTGACGTGCATACAACCCACCTGGCATAGTTAAACTACTGCGTACCGCTGAGTACTCTCTGCAAGCCTCATTTAAAGAAAAACGTGTTATAATGTTAGGAAGCACCATGGAGGAAATTGTTGTAGTTGGAATTCATTCCAAAGCAGTATGGTACACGGTAGAAAACATTTCTGGAAACGCATTGTGGATGAACGCAATGGTTCTGGTTAGTATGGGTGTACACTGCTCCAGCAGCGGGCGGTGCCGTGGTAAAAAGGAGATGATTGGATCATCTCAAACAATACCTCAAAGCACTACATAAATAAAGCATGTGTAATAGTGCAGCTACGGTATTTTGATCCTGGGGTTATGTTAAACCACCATTTTCAAAATCGTTTTTAGTGTCGCGGCACTCCAAATTGGTCAATCTCAAAGCGATTTGTCACGACCCACAGACGAGATCAAAATTTATCTGTACAAAGTCTTCAAAAAAAAAAGGTTCTTATGAGTGCATTTCTTAACTTTTTGCAACCACATTTTGAGAGACGATAACCTAAGCAAGTTAAAGAATAGGGCCATTATTAAGACTAACAATTCATTTCGTCACATCGGACATAACTGCACATGTCAATATATTAAGTTTACAGTGATGATTACCTTGTTCTTGGAATATTTCTGTTAAAAAATTCGGATCCAGGGCATGAGAAATTAAAGTTTGTATGTAAACTTCGAAGTTCTCTTGATACATTTGCGTTTCCAACATTCTTTTCTCTATGAAATTGCAATCATCGAATGGCATTTCACTTCTTATTAATTCTACAGTTGTTTCTAGATGTGTCTGTGATCTTACTTTTACTGGTACTTGGGTATACAATTTCTTGTTTTCTGGGTTCCACACTGTGTACTAAAATAAATAAAAATTAATTGAGTAGTATTCTAATATTGAATATTGTTAAAATGTAAGTATTGAGCTCATTTAGCTACCTAAGCAATATAAAAAGTTTAGGACTATGTCAGATATCCATAATTATAACTTTATAGATTGCTATTACTAATTATTATAGATGTTTGTGGGACTATTTTTAAGATTAGATTAGATAGGAAGATTCCTTTAATTAATTTGCCTAAGTTTTATAGTTTAATTTACTAGTCGAGTTTACAAGACAAGGGCAAAAAAAACTGCATACAAATCTGTATAAAAGGATTCTTTGCAAAGAGTTGTTCAGACCTTAAAGTGCCCTAGATAGGTTAGCCGTCGGGGCTCCGTGGTTCGTTAGGAACGTGGACCTACACGACGACCTGGGCTTCGAACCGATCCGCAGATACATGAAGTCAGCGTCGGAACGTTACTTTGATAAGGCTATGCGTCATGATAATCGCCATATCGTTGCCGCCGCTGACTACTCCCGAATACTGATCACGCAGGAGCCATTTACCGTCGTCGCCCTAGACACGTCCTTACGAATCCATCTTTTTTTTTTATTGCTAGATGAGTGGACGAGCTCACAGCCCACCTGGTGTTAAGTGGTTACTGGAGCCCATAGACATTTATGCGCCACCCACCTTGAGATATAAGTTCTAAGGTCTCAAGTATAGTTACAACGGCTGCCTCACCCTTCAAACCGAAACGCATTACTGCTTCACGGCAGAAATAGGCAGGGTGGTGGTACCCACCCGCGCGGACTCACGAGAGGTCCTACCCCCAGTAATTACGCAAATTATAATTTTGCGGGTTTCATTTTTATTACACGATGTTATTCCTTCATCGTGGAAGTCAATCGTGAACATTTGTTGAGTACGTATTTCATTACAAAAATTGGTACCCGCCTGCGATTCGAACACCGGCGCATCGCTCAACACGAATGCATCGGACGTCTTATCCGTTAGGCCACGACGACGACCATCTGATCCAATAACCCTTGCATTAGACACCTTTACCTCTAACACTAGGAGTAGGGATCCCGGTAACTGTGCTCGTCGAACTCGGCAAAGAGTTCGAGGTACAACCTAACCTAAACATCAGCCCGCTGAGTTTCTCGCCGGATCTTCTCAGCGGGTTACGATTCCGATCCGGTAGTAGATTCATTCGCGAAACAGTTACTCTTGAGTTGTTAGGTGTCCTTTGGAGGCGTTCGGGTAGCTGTTAGCAAATCCCATCCCTCCTGGCTGAGTCCTTGCTCGCCCACCTGCCCTGGTAAAACTGGAAAGGCCTCTGGGCCACCAGTGACGTTTCAAACATTAAAAAAATCTTAAAATTCTGCTGTCCAATATTAAAAAATATCCAATAATAAATGACTTCATTTATTTTTTATTCAAAACTTACCGTTGATATATTGCGATATAAAACTTTTCCGTTTTCTTCAAATGGTTCATATTTTTGTAACAGGGTTTTACCGTCGACCCTCCAAATCGCCGGCCACATATCATTTAAATCAGTTTTTAACGCGACGAATTCACCAGACTGGAATTAATGTTATCGTTTTATTGATTTCCTCGCCTCGTTGGTCTAGTGGTTAATGCCTATGACTGCTGTATGATAGAGCAGAGTTCGTTGACCGGTCAAAGTCAGTATCTTTATTAAAGCCTCTTGATCTATTAAAGTGTGTCTTAATCTATTAGACTTTATTAAATTGTCATTTGGTATTTAGGGCTTGGGGCCTATCTATACTAATATTATAAAGCTGAAGAGTTTGTTTGTTTGGTTGAACGCGCTAATCTCAGGAACTACTGGTCTGATTTGAAAAATTCTTTCTAAAGTTTAGCATTATGCCAAGGTAACTACTCCACGCGGACGAAGTCGCGGTCAAAAGCTGGTGTTTATATATATCTTACCCTGTTATATTCTACGCATTTTCTTATACTTATACTAGGTTGCAAGGGAATCTGTAATAAAACCTCGTATGCTACTTAAACGTTTGGGATATTTTTCCAATGTCACCTAACACGAAATTTATGTTGTATTTGTTACAACACAATTTAAAGACATTAACCACTTACTTCCAATTGATTCTCAGGCACCCCTCATTGAGAACAAAACGAATTTGACTGTCCATTACCTGATACGGCATTTCCTCCAATGGCCTCGTGCCGTCCATCTGACCCGTTGTGGACGTCACTTGTTGATGAGACTTATTCATTTGTTGTAATTTTCTATTTGCACTGTCACTGTCGGTTGCACCATAAATTCCATAGGCCAAATTACTTCCGTGGCTAGACACTGAAATATTATCAATTTCAATGAAATCATTAACTTCATTACGTCTGTGTATTATTACCTTGTGTATGGTTAGGGAATTTCACTGGAGACAAGCATTATTTCGCATTTTTTGAAGTATAATATATATGACTCATTTATGTCATTTCAAAATAAACCAAAGTTTATTATATAGCGCCATGAAACTTCTGATAATTGATTACATTTAAAACTTACTGTTTTACAACAATCTGCAGGTCTTTATAGCCACAAACTGAAGACACAAAAAAATGTAATTTCTACAACTCTCATCGCGTAATATGTATCAACTGTATTACTGAAAACATTACGCGTATTTCACAGAAGTGCAACTAGGTATCAGTCACTTCTCGAAGAAAAAAACTCATTAACAAAATTGTAATTTTTTTGTAAATGGATGTAAAGTAACCGTTCTCGAATATGATCAAAGAACACAGTATCTTACTATAAACGAAAAATAATTTTAATTTGCTAGACCATGTTTAAATACGTACTTATTCTAGAAAGTTTATTATTTGTAAAACCGCCATCAATCAGAACTGAGACAGGTGGTGAACATGTCACGCGAGTGCAGGGGCCACGCGTGTCAGTTGACTTTTAAGCGAGTGAGAGAGAGTGAGGGAGTACAAGAAAAAAAATGAATTTTTTTGTTATTTTTTTGTTTGCCAGGAATCAGAATCTATCACCTGTTATCGTTTTCGAGAACGGTTCCTTGCATACAGCATGAGTTTTGTGTTTCAAATATCTGCAATGTAATTGAGTAAGAGGACAAGGGATGTGAAGGAAGGGGATAGCCAAATTACGACTAGACCGACAAGGCGAGTCGTTTTGGTGATAACATGTACTAAAATAAGATTTTACAATATATGACAACAAAAACATTTAAAAATTCAAATCAAGTTACAGCTGGTACATGTTATCCCTATTTGGCGATGCATGGGGTGCTACCAGGAATAATTACATATTATTAAATTATTTAACACGTCGTCAGTAATATACTTGTGTTTATTTTAGGTTTTCTCCTATTTTACAAAATTATTTACATAAAATATTGAGAATTGTGCATAAACAAATAACAATTAAATAGAAATACAAAAACTTATGCTCAGGACACGGCCTACTAATACATTATCTCGCACTTACTTTTATAGCTGTCAATTATTATGCAATTAATATCCTCCTTATAGTATAAAATCACTTTCAGCTAAATATATGCATACACTATTGTAAGTACTGACTAACTCAAATACTGTAAATACAATACATTTTATATGTACAACAGACATTCACTGGTATGAGTCCCATAAAAAAATATATACCACATTTTGGAATTATTTATGGTAGCACCCCTTCAGTAGCGAGTATGACAAGAGTCACAAATATTACAATTTACAATAAATGGCACTAGCAATGTGTCATCAACAACATATTGAGTGAAATCTTGTTACAAACTAACCCTAAAACATCGATGACTATTTTAGATAAGTAGATCACATAATTTGTCACAAAAAAATAACTATATTTACAATTCAATAATCATAGATTTCATCTATTATAGATTTACATTATCACAGTTAAAATGTAACAAGTTTTCACGGCATTCTGCCGAACGGCAGTTAGCTTGCTCCTGTCATACAAGCTTCAGGGCTAGCTCTTCACCATCGCGCTCTACTTCTCAAGTGAAAATCTAATAAATTGAACGCACCTTCGTCAGGTTGATGCTGATAATAGTATTGTTGTTGTGGCGCAGGATGCAGCGCGGCCACGGGCGGCGGCGCAGGCGGTCGTGGCTTCTTGGGCGCGGCCGGCTGAGGCGCCACTACGGCTGAAGGAGTCGGCTTATTCAACGGCGTAGTTCGACCCTTCTTCGCTTTGTCATTTAAAGGCGTACTAGGCACATTTAGCACCGGCTTATTTAACCTGCGGGCTTCCTCTTCCGCATCATAAGCGGATTCTTCAGTTCCATCGTATTTACGTTTCCGATCTTTATTTAAATTGTAATAACGAGGATCATCTAACTCAACTCCCTTTCCTTGTGAGTTCAGAAGATTTGATGACCCACTATGTACCTGGTTAGCACCTAACAAACCGGTTGTGCTCATACTAGCAGAAGAGCTCATTACTTGATTGCCTAATGACATGCCTGTATTTATTACATTTGAAGACGGCATTGCACCATTAGCACTGTGCTGTGTGACACTGGAATCACATGGACTTTTAGTAAGGTCATTCTGACCATATGGTTTATTACTAGTGTTGCTATTTGTATTTGTTCTTGACCACGTAGATTTCCTGGCGCCTCTTCCTGCCGGAGGGGGAGAAGTATCGCGTTCTCCTTGCAAAAATTTTAAATAAGAAGCCATGAAGCCTGAGCCAGGACCCGTGACCGGAACGCTGAATTTTTTTTCCATTATTTTCGAAGTAGCGTCTTGTGAAGTGCTGTTTATGGTCTGCTGCTGTGAAGAGGGTGCTACCGACGATGTAGTATTTGCTCGTTGTTCTGCAAGGAAACCAAGTTCTTCCTCTATATTAGGCACTACCACCTTAGGCTGTTCCTCTTCACGTGTTTCTGGCGTCGAAAAAGATGACGAGGAAGCCGAAGGTGGAGTTTCGCTAAAAGACGATAATGGTGTTAACTCCACTGAGGACTGGAATTCAGGGTGAGGACCTAGATGAAAAGGTGGGAAATATGTCAGAGCATGTCCATGGGGCATTGCTAATGCTTGATGTTGATTTGCGAAATTAGTAGCATGGGATCCAAATGCTGAAGCTCCAGGAAACATTTTAGGAGGAGGAGGAGGGAGATTCCATCTTTCGAAATCGAAATAACTACCATTTTGCTGTTGATTTGTAGTAGAGCTGTGTGCTGGAGGGGGAATTCGATTAGCTAAATAATCTGCCATCACAGCATTAGATAATTCATTAACATTTGGATGTATTACTTTATCAGCACTTTTTCTTCGTTGCACAGATGATTTTGATGTCGTAATTGTTGTAGGAGTTTGAGTTTTTGTAGCTTTGACATCTTGCAACTGACAACTTTGTTGTAAGTTTTGCAAATTTTTTACTATACTCATTGGATCTCCTCTACAACTAGACAAGTCTTGTAAAGCCACATTATTGCTATCAAAATAGTGTTTATCATTTAGATTCCTACTTGAAGGTTGATTTTGGGATTGGTTACTTGTTTCTTCACTGGGAGTATTATTGCTATCTGTATTGTTATAACTATTACTACTGCTTGAATACTTTCTAGAAGTTTGACGTTCATTTTCCCAACAACCCTGACCAGAACTTGAATTTCTGTCATAACGATTTTCTGTGTATGTTTTATTTTGTTCTATACCTAAAGCTCTTGTAATGACTGAAGGATATGCAACTTGACTATTCTGTGAAGGAGGGCGTGCAACCGACGCATCCAATGGAGATCGGGGAGCAAGTTTATTATAGTGATCATTATGTGGTTGTGGTGAGTTGATAGAGTTCATAGGACTATGGTACATGGGATAAGCAGGACTAGATCCATGACCTATTGGAGACGATTGTGGTGGTGCATGTGATGGGCTTTGCCTTCTGGCAACTACCACACCACAATCTGGACCATTCTGAGAACTACTACTAGAATACCCAGTATCAGTACTAGAACTACTTTTAGCTCTAACATGATAATCTGATTCAACATTATTTCCACTCTGATAATGTCTAAAGCTTGAACTTTGTGTAGATGAATATTGAGAATTACTTATTCTACTAGATTTTGATGAACTGCCGGTGCTGCCATTATAATTTAATCTACCTGGTGCATCCATTATCGAATAACTAATTGGTGATGACTGGGGTTGACTTTTTTCACTAGATTCACAACTTTTTCTTTGATCATTATTTATTTCTGGATATATTTTGCTTTGTGCTTTAGTTTGAACTTGTGGTGGCTTTGAAGTTGGAGAAACAAAACTACTGCTTCCAGTATTTGAAATATGTCTAGATGTTTTTTCGCTTGTCTTAGGGGTCTGGGAGTTGTAAATAGTGGTTGAAGGCCTGGGAGTGGTGCTAGATGTGGGTCTATAGTCTTTACTAGGTGGTGTAGGAGAAGAACTTATAGGTGGAGTTGACACTATACACGATTGTTGAGAATGGACAGTTGAACTTGCAGAACTTGAATAGGACTTACTTCCAGCATAATCCTGCTGTGATGATAGTTGACCACTTTTAGCACTGCTTGTACTATATGAATTATCAGTCTGATTTCCAAATGTAGTCGGAGATTGGAAAAACGTTGATGATGGTGTTGATGTTGCTGGCTGTTTTGTTGCAGTTGCTGGTGATCCTGACCTATTTGCTTGTTTACCAGTACTAGAAATTTGTGAATTGAGATGATTATTGATTGTTTGTGCTGCAGCAAAGTGTGCATTAAAATTCTCATAAGTTGAGGACGCCTTTGTTGTCGCAGGGCTAGGTGATGAAGGCACTACACTTTCATGTGGTAATATTCCAAACGGACTTGGAAGTTGATTGTTTCCTTGCCAACTCAATCCCGTAGTGCTTCCTGGGGTTGAAGATTGGTCAAAAAACGATGCACCCTGTGCAGCAAGTGTCTGATGTGAGTAATTCTCTCTCAACGAAGAAAGTTCAGATTCAACTGAAGATTGTTTAGAGGCAACAGCGGCTTGAGCTTGGGCTATAACTTGCCGATGTTGTGCTTGTAATGAAGAACTGTAATGGGCCGGTTTTGGATTGGCATGATGAAAAAGAGGTGAAAACATTGCATCATATCCTACAGATGGTGGAGATAAAAATCCCCCAGGATTAAAAGGTGATGCAGTTGATGAACCAAGTTGGCCTGCTAATGAAGCTGTTGTGTGTGCTGCCTGGAGTAGTAATTGACTCGTTGTTGATGGGACTGACTGGCTGCCTAATCCTGATCCACCGCTTGCAAGGTGGTGATGAAAGTCCCCACTTGCAGCACCAGCTTGGACCCCTGCTAATCGGTTGTATGACGCATATGCTGACCATGGTCCCACTGGATCCATTACCACCTCCGTGTTGTGTTTTTATCAATGTATGTAAAATGTCAATAGTAGTCCACACTTTCATCCATAATTTGCAGTAAACAATCAGTTGTGTTTACTATTACGAAACTTATGCACTTGAGCTCCTGTCCAACTGATTTCTGTTCATATATATAAATAATGGCCCTGGAAAGAAAGTTAATTTCATTAGGACCAAAACAACAATAACATGCGGGATGTAATCTTTCCGGAAATCCAACAAAAATGCTGTCAAAGTCTAATTATCTAATTGTAAGCTATTTTGTTTTCTTATTGATACCTATATTAGGAAATAATCAACGAATTGACAAAAATATATAATCCGCGGCATCGCCATCGAAGCGTCAATGAGTTGAACAATACAGGACATTAGTTCAAACAATTGGGCTTTTATAATTGTATGGGTAAAAGGATAAACATACCATTGCCTCCGTTTTCTGCAATCATTTATAAATGTGCTCTCCGAGGACGCTCACTCGCCAGATAACATCATAAATATGGCCTCGAGTATTTGATGAGTGCTCGTTGCGACGGGTTTTGTCTATTGTGAAATTAAAAGCCACTCAAATTTGAATTTATACACTATAATCCACAAGTAAGTTTATACACACATGTGTAGCATGACCTCTCATTACTCTTGGTGATAGTTTTTGTATTGTAACGTACGGTTTACTTTATTTACAAGTTATTTTAGTACAACGTTTCGCCTTTCACATTAATCGCCGCCATCTTACTTGTCGAATATCTGTCGCCTCTAGTCGCCCCAGTCGGTCGAACGAACCAACAACCGCACAACAAACGACTCAGCGCCATCTATAAATTTGGATTTCACAAATTTAACTAAAAATGTATTAAAAAATTAAGAAAATTGTGAAAGGATAATTTAAGATTAAATCATAATAATAAAAACATTATTGTAAATTAAATTCGGTATAGTGAGATTACAACAATGCATGTATAACCACCAATATATAGGTACCGTACATGATGTGATGTGACGTTGATTTAAAAAACGTTAACAAAAGTTTAATTTTCTATACGAATTTGAGACGATAATAGTGATGAAATCGTTATTTATATAGATATTTTTGTCTTCTGACTTCAAACCGACAACCCTAACTTCGCAGACAAGCGTGTGGATTTATCGAAAATTATCGAAGATGAGAAGATTTAGCCAGGGCAGTATTTAACTATGTTTCGGAAGTTACTATTACAAAAATTTGGCTCTGTGTCTGTAATGCAAGCATTCGACAATATGTGGTAATGATTTAATAATTTTTTTTGTAGCGTCTACTATTTGTAGGTAAATAGGTTTTATTTATCTACTTGATTCGTCCATTTGACAGGCAATGGGAACATAGTCTATTCAACCTTGTTTTTAGTAATAAAGGCCGAAGATTTGTATTGTATGAAAATATAATAAAATTCAACGAGAAGCAATGAAACTCGCACTCCAGGTAAAAAGTCTCTTAAGTTTAGTAATTATAGCATGATTTACGTGACAGCTTTAAAGGTGTCATTTTTAGGTGTAGCACGAAATTTAAATACTATAAACATAGAGTTAGGTACCGGTAAAATGGGGCGATTAGGGACAAATTCCAACTTTATGACTAATTTTAAGGTAGTTGTTGATGTATATAATGCCATATCAGGATCAAAATGATTGAGTCTTGGGGGCATCTTTGTTATCCAATTTAAAACTATGCAACTAGCATTCCAGTTTAAGTAAAAAAAGCAAAAATAGGTGTAATCCCTATTTACCCGGAAATTGCGGTTAATTGGGACGAAATGAGAAATTTGCTAGGGTTGGAACTACTTGGTTTTAATTTATTTATTTATTTAGTTGCACCAACAAAGTGATATATATATATAACTAAATCTTGATTACATTTATTTACTTATGGTTAATTTATATTTACTTGGGAAATGATCCGCGACAGATTTTTCCTGTAAGTTGTGAGACAATTAAAAAAACATCTATTTCATCACTTAAAATTAGTTCAGCGCAATCGGACAACTCCGAATGAACATTGACGGAAACCACGCTACCGTGGACATTATTGTTGTCCCAAAGGATTCTGTATATGGGAGAGTAAGCACCTAAATTCGAACGAGTGGGCTTATCTAAAAATAGAAAACAATACGTAACTGATAACATAAATATTTACCAAACAATAAAATAACACATTGATAATTTTAAATAAAAGTTCTAGACAAAAACGTCATGAATAAGCCAAATTTTTATTAACAAATTTAAAAAATATTGTTATAGCTACATAGACAACCCTACAAACCTGTACCTATTTATACTTAGGTCGTTTCCATTTCACGTATTCTCATCCCAATTGACCCCCTTTTTCGTTGTTATTTGTACCTAAGACGTCCCTAATATCCCCCGAAACAACAGATTTTTACATGTATTTTTATTTTATCAAATACATTAAAACCAATAACAACTGAGACTTATCTTTAATATATATGATGGTTCAAACACTAAATAACGTTTATAAATCACAGTCGTCTTCTATTATTATCAAATAAATAAAAGAAAGCAAAGTTTCTAGCACTAAAATAATTACCACCACAGAAAGTTAATTTGAAACGCGATTTTTTATAAGTTAGCAGCTATTATCATGCATATTCAGAGTTGTTTTGTGAACTTTCAACATTCTACTATTAAACTACAAAAAATGGAAGATTTTGCAACGAATATAAAACTAATATTGAGCGTCGAAAGATTTTCCCGGTTTTTTCCCGATTCGCCTCTCAATCCCTAATCGCCCCATTTTACGGTACTTATTAACTCCATGACTATATATTACTCTGACTTTTCTAATTGTCTATGATCACAATTCATACATGACATACATAGGTCATGCTTGCATTTCGATTTTGTCACTTAGGTAGTACGTGAATATTTTAAATCTTTATTGTGATGGTTTAAGCCATTCGTCGGAGTGTATTAAGTAATTAATAAATAAGTATGTTGTGGATTTTAAAATAAACGGCAATGCTCCTCCTCACAGCTCTGCGCCTACTTTCAATGTAACCCGAGGAGGCTTCTTAATTCGGTATAACGAGGTTCTGGTAAACCTTTGGGAGGCTTAAACGACGAAGAGAAGATCTTCCACCGAGCGGGTGATATTGCTCGGTCAAATATCTTGTGTTCTGTGATGGCTACCGCCACACCACTCCCCTCCGAGACTGGAGGTCGTGTCATATAGTAAGCGTTGTCCGTGCTGAGATTAGCTTGCAAAGGCCAGTGCTGCTCGAAGTTTGCGGTGAGTCGAAACTGAGCTTGAATGCTGCGTGCGTGTCGCCAGTGCTGCTCGAAGTCTGCGGTGAGTCGAGACTGAGCTTGAAGCTGCACGTGTATCGTGTGTAGTCCATGTGTGCAGAGCTGCTACGCCGGAGATGCGTGACCCCAAGCGTTGACGATCCGGTTGTGGGCTGCGATGAGCTGCAGTGGCGTGATGAGGCAGTGAAGTTGCGTGCCGTAGGACCAGGAAGCGCGTTGAATCGGCTGCGATGGTCCTGTTGAGGCTGCGATGCTGGCTTGTTGTGAGACGACTGTCAATGACTTGCTTTTATCTGCGAGACTGCGGAAATTGTGGTAGCCGAAGTTCTTGATGCGCTGATGATGAAGGGCTGCAATTGTTCCGTCGCAGGTCACCAGTTTGGGGCTTATGACAAAGGGAAGATATTCCACCGAGCGGGTGATGTTGCTCGGTAGACCGACGGTCCGAATGTTGTTGTTCGGAACTTGTATATATGCGAGCTTATCTTGAAAATGTCGTAAGCGAGATTCAGGCATCTGTCAAATATCTTGTGTTCTGTGATGGCTACCGCCACAAACCCTCGGTAAAGATATCAGCCTCCATTTTAGCCGTCTCCAAATACTTAATATCGATATTTCCATTTCTCACATGTTCTCGAAGGAAATGTATTCGAATGCTTGGTTTTGTTGCTCACGATATCATTCTTGCTAATTTCAATTGCAGCTTTGTTATTGCTTTAATCTGCTTTTTAATAGCTTCTCGCCATTCCTCGTCAGTGACGCTTGGATTTTCGGATTCACACAACAAGGTATGGTCTTCATTTGTTATTTGATTTACTGGTTCTTGAAAATCATCGGAAGCATCAGATTGCGAATCAAGGTCGTAATCTTTTAAATCATTTGGTACTATTCTTTGTGTTGGAGATCTAGTGTTACCTTGTGAACTCCTCCTATCGTGGTCTATATCTCTATCTTCTCCCCTTTCAACTTCGTCTCCATTACTCTGAGAAGTAGTTGCAGGATTTTCTTCAAGTTGGGTGAGTATGGTAGGAGGTGGTACCTTTTTATTTTTATTTGACGTAGATGGTTTCATTTCGATATCTACTTGTTTATTAGATTTTCGATTATTTTTTTGAGTATTTTTAATAACTTTCTTTTCTTTTTCAGGTTGCAGTGGTTCCCTTTCACAGAAAATATTACCGTAGCTTTGATCTTCATTATTGTAATACATTTTGTCAATAATTTTTACGTCTCTGCTAGTAACAACAGTGTTCTTTTCAGGAAAATAAACTCTGCAACCTTTGGCATTCTGCGCATAGCCTACAAATACACCTCCTTTAGCTTTGGCTGTAAGCTTCCCTCGTCTTCGTTTGTTCAGTACAAAAGCTTTGCTACCGAATACTTTCAGATGATTGCCCGACGGTGTTCGACCCGTTCATTTTTCATAAGGAGTATTACCGTTCAATGCTCTTGTAGGACATCTGTATAAGAGGTAGTTTGCCGTACTTATTGCTTCAGCCCACAGGTGTTCTGGTATGTTTGCTTCTATCATTAAGCATCGTGCTTTATCCATGAGCGTACGATTCTTTCTCTTGCTCTGGCCATTTTGCTGTGGCGTGCAGGGAGCAGACAATCTTCGGTGTATGCCGCTTTCTTTTAGGTAACGGTCAAATTCTTTGTTACAGTATTCTCTGCCATTGTCTGATTGGAGTACTCGAACTTTTCTTATTGAAAGAATATTCTACCTTATTTTTGAATTCTTTGAATTTTTCAAAAACTTCATCTTTGTGTCTAAGGAAGTATACGCAGCAATATTTTGAAAAATCGTCGATAAAGGTCACGAAATATTTGGATCCTGCAATAGTTTCCATCCTCATTGGTCCGCACACATTACTATGGATTATTTCCAGTGGTTCACTCGATTGTGGTCCTTCTATGGATTTTTATGGCAACTGAGTCATCTTACCTTTTATACAGGTTTCGCAAGTGGGCATTTTCCGAATTTTCCCAGGTTTACGCCTCTGATCAGTTCGTTTTTATCAATTAGTTTCATATCTTTTTCATTTAAGTTTCTGAATTTTTGGTGCCATAACATCATTGTTATCAGACACAGCGCTTGGAATACTTGAATTTTCAAAATGTACATAATATAAGCCATTTTCCTTTTTTGCAGTCAAAGTTGTTTCGTTCTTTTTATCTTTAATGTAGGCCATATTTTTAACAAAACTGACAGTGCAGCCATTTTGTGTAAGTTTTCCTACTGATAGGAGACTCGTCGATAGCTTTGGCACGTATAGTGTGTCATGTAAATTAATTATATGGTCGTGTAGTTCGAAACTTACTTTGTCTTTGCTTTCGATTTTGGTTGTATGACAGTCAGATGCTAGTTAGAGTGTACCTGACTCTGGCTGTATCTCTTCAAACTGCTCTTTTTGGGCACACATATGCGATGTGCAGCCACTGTCCAAACACCATATTATGTTCGCCGAAGTTATTAACGTGGACTTATATATGGGCGTTATGCTGTAATTCTTTTCTACTTTATTAGATTTTTTTACTTTGTCTTTCTTTTCGCTCCAACACGTTTCCTTTGTATGACCCTTCTTTTTACACTTTTGACTTCGATCAACAATAGTTGTTGATCGAAGACTTTTGACAATATTTATTTACCTTTTTCTTGGTGTAGAAAGCTCCTCCGCCGTAAATTGTAAAATATATTATTAATTCCTCAATTCTGTAGGCATTCGCGCCATGCTACTTAAGCAGGATACATTTAGGTCCGGCAGGAAAGTTGGCTAACGACTTCCCGATTGACCACGAAAGAGGTTTCAAGAACTCGAGGGCATCGGAACTGGATCGAAAAGGCGACCCTCGCTGAGAAGATCCAGCGAGAAACTCAGCGGGCTGATGTTATGGGATATGTTTCATGATCCAAATCTTTCGGAAGTTATATTTTGTAATATTTTCTTGCAAATGTACTAATAACTACATAGCGCGATTCAGAGTTTTTCCGATTTCTCCACTTGTATGATAGCTAGGAGCTGATTGAAGTTAGTTGAGGTCAATCAATATAACATGACTCTGGGTAAAATAATAAAACAATTGGTTTTCGCATTGTATTAATACACAATCAAATAAATTCAATACATATTTGGTTCGATATTTAAAACACAGTAATATTAAGGAAGACTTATGAACTTAGGAAATGATACAAGTCCAAAATAATTAAGTGAAACGTTAGATTGCTTAGGTATTGTTACTAAGCATAATAACTTCATTATTTAAGACTCTTTTTAACGTTCTTACAATTTGTCATCATTGACCAACGGAGTTTGAGTGCGCCGTGTAAAAGTATCGTCTACTACTAAGGTTTGTTCTGGTATAGGAGAATATGTACGTAACAAAATATTTTCGGAATATTAGTCATTACTCAAGTTATCGTTATTAATGTTTTAAATTAAACACATAATCGATAAATAATAAACGAATGGCATATTTTTGTACAGTAAATACATTTGAAAAATAATTAAATTACTATATTTTTAAACAGAGATAGTACTTTGAATGAGAATAGAATAACAAAGCTGGCCCATAGATATTCACCTTTGCAATGTACCTTTAGTTTCACAGTACTCAACCTAATCCGACGATGTTTGGGTATATATTTTCACAAAAATTAAACCATTATTCTACTCACTTCTATCACAAAGCAGTCATGCAAAGGTGGGACAGCCGCTATGCTGTTGGTCACAGTATAAAGGCACAAAACAAAAATACTTATTATAATTAGAAACTACGAATAATAAAACTATAGAAAAGTTATTACGCTTCAAAAATGGTTCCACGTAAATAGCTACCGCGGAGGGCGGGGTTTAAAATAGCTACAGAACGGCGCGCCAGTTCGCTGTGGCACTCGTGTCGTGCGGTCGTGTTGCGTCAGTTTTCGGTTGACCAGATAATTATTATTTTGCGCTTTTTAATTTTGCAAGTATGCAATCGTGTGTCGTGAAATGGTGTAAAAGCCATACAGATATGAAAAACAGTGGAATTAGCTTTCATAAGTAAGTATACAAACATCGTAAAATTTCATACTATTGATGATGGATAGTGTTATGCAATATGTACGATTACTTTTTCTATGCAGTAGTAGTTCTTTATACTGCTCGGATAAAACATAAATTTTATTTAAGTAACAAATGATTTTATTACTGCAGATTTCCGACAAATGAAATTCAACGTAAAAAATGGATAGCCGCTTGTGATAGTACGCTTGGAAAGAAATGAAACAAATTGGACCGTTGCAAAAATAGTACAATATGCAGCATACACTTTCAAAAAGTATGGCCATGTACATACTTGAAAGTGGAAGTACTGGATAACGTCATCGTCATAAGGGTGCGCTGGGTGGCGCTTGCGAACCGTGACCTTGGCGCGACCAATCGCGTGCAAGCGTTTGTTTATGAAAGAGTGTGAGTGAGAACCATAATCTAAAGTGCAATTGAAGGCGAGTTACTGTTCCATAGTTTTATTATTCGTTGTTATGAAAACTTTATCGGAGGGTAACGAACGCTTCATTCCTGCGAGACGTCGTTACCGTTTACTTTATATCATGACTTGAGGCGCAACAACAACGTTCCATGTCCGATTCCCTAAGGATATGAATTCTATTTTAGAAATGGAATGTTAAGTGCGATTTTGTCCAAAAGGTACCCCATTATAGCCACTCCCCGCCCCTCTTGAATGAATTACTTATTTTTTTGATTATAGTTACTATTAATTCAAATCTCTGTGTTTCTAGTATCTATATTCTGCTAATCAAACTAGGGAAATCTTCCATATTTCCATATTTTAAACTTTATATGAGAAGAATAACTAATAAGAGAACTATACAAATAACAAATTTATAATTATGGGCTACAACTCCATGAGTTATAAAGATGTTGTTATTAATCATCACGGATTATGGGAAAGAGGGACAGCATATTTTATATCCTATGTATTACTCATTTGTATTTACTATTAATTATTAAAAATATTTACTTAGTAATTTTTAGCTGAATAAATTTGAATTAAATACTATCAGGAATGAACATCCAACACGAGGAAACACTTTTTTGTAACAATATTGTATAGTTTCATTTTAGATTTCTGGTTTTTAGGTCTCGGGTCATCCTGATGTTTTCCTTATTTCTTGTTAAATTGTTTTTATACAGTTATAACACACAAAGTGCCATGACTTACGTTTCTACGTGTGAATACATTTAAATACATATTACCTATAATTACAAGTTTATTCACATCATTCTAATGGTATTTTAATACCATTGAAAGTTCGTATTTTGAATGGTTATGTAAATTAGAAATAAATCTTTTGCCGTTAATCTATGTGTTTTATTAGCTAGATCCACAAATATATAGCTTAATCAAATATGTATGTGCTAGGGATATTAAAATATTTCCTATGAACTATACGAAAATTGAAGTGGGGAACACATTTTCACAACGCACACAGTAATTATGATCAAATTTATTACGATATTACGATTATTATTGTAGTGTGCACTACAATAAGTCCGAGGTTTTGTTGGTTGACGCGCAGCAACAGATCAATTACTTTACCCTTTGCCGCTGTTTTGAAATGTGGAATTTAAATTGTTTTTCTAAACCTAGGTACTTACTTACCTAAAGTATGAAGTATTTTATTCGAACCGATTTGTTGAGAAGTCTGTTTAGACCAAAGAAAACACAATCATTATGGAAACATATTTTCTGATAAAATTAAATATTACGTAAATGCATAAAAGTTAGAAATTTTTTTTTGTGTGTTAGCGTTGTAGGTACCTAACATAAATTAGTAGTAGGTTTCATTGTTACAAGTAAATAAAATTATTTTCGTATTGACTTTCGTTCCATAAATTAAAATGAACTGGCGCTTAAAAATTGTCAACTCACACAATTTTCATACGTTACAGACATTAATTACATTTAAACAAATTTACGGTTTAATATTAGGTTATTAAAAAAGGTAGTTTAAAAAAAAAAACATTAGTTTACAAATGTTTTGGAAATGGCAACTCACTGTTATTCCTTCAATAAGTAATAAAATTATTTATGGAATAACCAGTGATTCAACATCTTTGGTGTAGTATTGCGGAATAATGCTAACATACACTTGGACGAACGCAGTGATTTCATGGAACATACAATGAAGACAAATATTGACTTTAAATCCTTTAACTTTAATTTTAATTACCGTATTATTATAGACTGAAGTGACTCTTTTGTAAAGATTCAACTATTGTTTTACCTTAAAACTTTAGGATATTTTTGTAAGGCATCATTTGAAAGGGTCTTGTAAGTGTAAGCGTTAAGTTTTAATATTATTTGGCACAATTTTAATCAGCCAGTGCAATCATATATTCAACTAAGTGTTAAGCCAACAATATTGCAGGACGGCAATAATCTAAAACTAATAAAACGACGTTAATTTAATTTTTCTTTTGTTTTGACCTTCGATATAATTTATTTTAATGTTCTGTTATTCATTATTTTGCACAGAAGTCCAAAAAATTCAAACTAGAGTCGATATTTTTATAAAAATATATTACTTTAATAACATAAGTGCTAATTATCAAATTTCAAGATACGGCATATAAATTTTTAATATACAAAACATCAGATTTTTTTGTTAAAAAAAAAGGATTTAAACAAAGTAATTTTGAGATCTAGTAAAAGCTTTTGAACAAAATTGAAAAACAAACCTGCACAGTGAGTGTTTGTATTCCACACCGAAATACAATGAGTTATGAATAGACGAATTATAAGGCGATCGTATTCACTTGGAGAGTGTTTTGTGCGGCTGTCTGATGTTCGGGTTATAATAACACCACATAATTTTTTTCTGTGAGAATGAACAAGAAATTTCTCTAACAATTATGCTAGCGTATGTGTATTATATTTAGCAGTAGTGGTGGTAACACCACATTGCCTATTTTTAGTCGGTCCTGTGCCAGTTTGAAGCGACTATGCTAAGCAATTGAGACATAGACCTCATGTCTCAAGGTAACGGCATTCATATTATAATATAGTCTATCAGTTTCGATAACCACTTAACACCAGATTCGTCGTGAACTCGTTCAATCGCCTATGCAATAAAAAATAACAACTCAAGAAAATTATCAACAAGTAATTCACCTTATACTTTTTGAGGAAATAAAGACAGTAGGTAGTGTTATGAGATAGATATCTACGCTATACACACTATATTTTATGTTTTTTTTACCTTTTCAATTGTTTGAATAGTTTCATCTTGTGCTTACGTGTGTATTTAGATTGGCATAAGATTCAGAGAGGAAAATATATATGACAACAATGTCATATAAAACGATCGTAAAAATTATAGGTAACACGATGAAATTCAGATATGCCAGTTCTAGCAATAAATGTTAATGCCCTGGAATTTGAATAGATCTTATTAAATAAAACTTTTTTCATGTTTTAGTACACATTAGCTTTCTTGCCAGAAAAAAGGGCAATTGTAAATATAAATCTGAAAACACACAATTAACGATAAAATATACCTTTCTTGGACGACAACACCGATCGGCGTTTTATTCCAGAGTCGAACAAAAGAATATTCTAATTGTCTTTTACAAAAAATGATCACGCACTCACTACTTCCAACTTAACAATTTAAAAATAAATTATAAAATATTTTGTTACTATAAGCACCACTACAAAAAAATCTTTGGGTTCAATGGGCAAGTTATCACATAAAAAATCAAACTTAACAAGTAAAAAAATACTAAGAATCTACAATTATCAAATTCATGTTCATAAGAAAATGTATATTTTGAGTATTTTGGATATAGGAAAAATGTATATCAATAAAGTAACAAAAAAAATTCAAATAATATCGAACTTACATTCTGCCCACTGTTTAATTGAGACTAAGTAACACTGTGAGCACGAAATAAGGCAATAAAAAATTATCTCCAAACCGAAATTTCTCCGTTTTTAATTTGACGTTGACTATAAACAGGAATAAAACATGACGTTTCATTGCTGTTTATTGCATGTTCTTGGTAATATGTACTCAAAAATAATATTCAATCTAATAATTGCTATACTTTTAAATATTTTTTCTTTAGTTTTACGCACCGCGCCGATACCTCGAGCAACATCTCAATTAAACAGGTATTATCTGAATGGATATTGCCACCATCGAACAACTTTCAGGACGATGTAAAAATTCAAGATTTTCTTCTTAAAACTCGTTAAAAGAGATTGATTATCACAAAAATAACAGGAAAAAACCGTCTTTTTTGCTTCAACTATAGTGTGTCATGGTTTAAATTCTATTCAAACATCTATCATGAGATACATTTATGGAAACTCGGTACTCTTGATAAGAACCAACATTAAATAAGTTCCGAATACTTCCATAGATATTTTAAATGCCTTGAGTGAGAGAGTTTTCGAGTACAATGTCAAATTCGTCCAAAGGCTCGAGTATTTGTTTCAGAAACGTGAGAAGTCCGCGTTTGCGCAGAAAACTTTGCTCCTCGTACATCTCAGCTGTGACACGAGTCAATGACATAGGCACCAGCATTCGATGAAGCCAGTGTTCCCTGTGAAAACAATTACATTTGGTTATTATGTTACGGTTAGCAGCTTATCTGTCCCTGGCACTGCTGAGGTCCATGAGCGACGGTAACCACTCACCATCAGGTAGGCTATCACGGTCAAGCTGTAATTATATATTTTAATCTATAATATAGTTTTTCAATAGGGACGCGCGAGTTTTGACAGTTCATAGCGGCCATCTTGGTAAAGCGATAGCGCTCAAATATGGGACACATGGTGACATTTCACCATGGAACGCTACTATTTTCCGGCGGTATCACTGGACATTGTTTCGAAGATGCGCAAAGAGCCGCGCTCACTGTCAATGGCAACCGATATAGGACGATGATATCAAACTTTTTGTGGCCTAGGATACATAGTATGGATCTCACAAACATGTGGTACCGACAGGACGCCGCCACTTGCCATATAGCACGGGAAACATTAAATATATTGGATGAGAAATTCGAAGGCTTCGTCATCTTAGCACCGCTCGACTACTTTCTGTCGCGTCTCACAGTCTCACTGTGTCCATAGTAATTTCTTTTTTGGTACAATTTTTCCTTATTAGGAAAGGCAACGGGATCTAAGCCCATACAGCCTTGTCTGTTCTATATTGTCCATAGTTACTCACCGTAAACTAAGACATATGAAGAGTTGAAACTTCCCGTCCTTCCCCAGCGAGCGGCCCACACTGTTGACCTCGTCCATGAGATGGCAGTAGCATCGCCAAATGGCTCTGTGCTCTTGGTCCTGTCTGCAGTTGTAGGATACGCCGCCGCAGTTCTTGTTGTTCATCGTACTGGGCTCGTCGCACAGGCTCATTTTGAACTCGTCTTTGACTCTAGCTGTTCGGATATTATGATTGAAAGCATTATATAAATGACTAGCGGCCCGCTCCGGCTCCTTTCGGGTCTTTAACAAAAATTTCAACGATATTTGACGTTGTTTTATTTTTAAAAATAAAAGAACACTTTTAACATTATTATTTCTCACCCCCCCATTAACGCCCCCGCAACTGGGGTAGGGAGTCCAACACTCATATAAATATTAACCTATCCATTAAGTACATGTATTTTATACATGCCATAAAATACATAAACCACATGTACCACTGTAGATTTATATTATTATATTAGTAAAGATTTTTATTTTATCATACCGTAGAATACACATCTGGGTTGTCACAATACTTTTGTTGGGTTGTCAGAGATGTAACTTTGTTCAATTAAAAATTACTTTTATTTAGTGTTTTGAATGTGTTTCTTATCGGCCAAGGAACCAGTAAAAAAACTCTACGGGTTTAATTGGTGTTTCGTGTCTTTGTGATTGGAATAATGCGATACAGAGGTACGCAGATCATCGCCGAAGCCAAAGATTATCACTGACCGAAATAATCCCATATGAAAAAATTCTTGCCGAAGAAGCGCGCCGATTTGAAGCCACAGAGGAAAGCTTGCTCCAAGCACTTGACCAGGCCATTTTCTCCGCACAGTAAGACACTTAGCGAGTTCGCGTCCTTATCTCTTTTTGACTGATAGTGCCATTTCACAATGGCGTTCACGCAATCACCTGGAAATTTATGAACAATTCTTTATTACACATATCTAGCAAAAAATATATTATATAATTACATCACTACCTAGTATAAAACAAAGTCGCTTTCTCTGTCCTTATATCCCTATGTATGCTTAAATCTTTAAAACTAGGTACGTAACGGATTTTGATGCGGTTTTTTTTTAATAGTTAGAATGATTGAAGAGGAAGGTTTATATGTATAATAACATCCATTAAATAGTGGAGAAATACTGTTATTTTTGAGGTTTCTAATGTGATGTCATAAATAATCAAGCGAGAGCGGGTCGCTAGTATTATAATGAATATAATATTTAATGATCCCTTAACTAATAGAAACGAATCATTAAGAGGGATTCGAAATAGTCTGACGCGGCGACGGTTGTAATAACTTACTTGGATGACGAGCACGGCTTTATAAAATTTATTCCTACGATTACATGGTATTAGAAAGTACGTTACGTGATGAAAGTATGACGTACGAAAGTACGGGCACGTACGGGTAAATCCTGTATATTTCTGCCAGAAAGCAATGCGTTTAGTCTTGAATAGGAGGGTAGCCATTATGCAGTACAATTAAGTCGTTGAAAACTTTGACTTGTTTAAAAGCCCAGGTACACTGTGAGTACGTTTGTTCATTTAAAGCAATTAAAAAAACGCAAAGATTGTCTATTGTTATTTTGACAGTATGTTGAAAGTAAAAAAAATTATTTATTTATTTTTTCTCTCCCTATTCGCTGGTAGCCTAAGGGCGTGGACACATGTCTACGGCGCGGCGCCGGCTACCGTTGAGACGGCGGTGCACCGTACACGGCACCGTGCCCTGTACGGTGCACCGCACCGGCACATGGCAGTAACCATTGTTTCTAATACAGTTTCTGTATTAACGTGGATCGCGAAAAACGTATTATTCTGCTCCTGTTGTTAATACGACGAATGAAGAAAAAACAGTATCAAAGAAAATATTAGGTGAATCCATACCTTTCTATAATGAACCATGATGGAGGTTGTTGTAAGAGGAAATATGAAGCGTTGAAAATATGTGATATTGACAAATTTTACGAATATTTTGTAGAGCAGGAGCAGTGCGCCGTGTGTCAGCGCGGTGCGCTGTACACGGCACCGTGCCGCGGCACGACGCCGCGCCGTCTCAACGGTAGTGGCGCCGCACCGTAGACATGTGTCCACACTCTAAGAGGCTATTCCAGCTACGCGGGGACGGTGCGACCTCTTTGTTAGTGTTCTGAGCACCTACCGATCATGTGCTGGATGGTCGAGGTCGAGAGGTGCGTGGTGGGAGTGTGCGGGTGCAGGGCGGCCGGGGGCGCGGGGGAGCGCGGCGTGTGCTCGCTGCGCACGCGCGCCGCCACCAGCAGCCGCTCGGTGGAGCCGTCGTCCACTCCACTCCCCAGCCAGCGGTTACAAGGATACCTGGCACGTTACATGTATTGCTGTTCAGTAACTAGCGAGGTCCATCTAGATTTCATTAGTTATCGGGACCCCATAGACAACAGAACGTAAATTACATCACACTGGTGGTAGGACCTTTTGTGAGTCCGCGCGGGTAGGTGCCACCGCCCTGCGTATTTCTGCCGTGAAGTAGTAATGCGTTTCGGTTTGAAGGGTGGGGCAGCCGCTGTAACTATACTTGAGACCTTAGAGCTTATATCTCAAGGTGGGTGGCGCATTTACGTTGTAGATGTTTATGGGCTCCAGTAACCATTTAACACCAGGTGGCCTGTGAGCTCGTCCACACATCTAAGCAATAATAAATAAATAAATAAATCTTGATAAATAAGGTCCCAATTGTAAAAAAAACCTTGGTCGCACTAAAGCAGTCCAAGTGAAATATGACGTCATCAGAGTAAAGCCTCAATTTAAAGCGTTTTGATTACGTGATTAACCCGATAATTTAGTTTTATATATAGTAAATTTAATTATAATGCAATAAGACACCCAATTTTTATTTACTCACGTGTAAGTATGTCCTGTCACTTCATTTCTGACATAAACTTGGTCGAGTAACCACCGCGGCGACAAACCAGAATTATCGTGACCGATTCTCAAGGTTGATAATGTTCCAAGATTCTTGTGCTAAAAAAAACAATAAAGGACCATTGTATTCTTACATCTGTTATGATCTATTCTGTTATGTTATTTTATATGGGATACGATTGATTGACGCTACCAAATTGAGGCTGTTTTAGGTAAGTACATTTTTGACGCATTAGCAATGCTGAGGATGTCGATCCTTGAAACTATTGTTTCTGTGTTTTACTATTGGTATTATTATATTGCTATTATTGTGTAAATTTTCGTCACCAATTAGAATCGAGCTGTGTGTAACGCTAGCAACGTATACGGTTGCAATTGGATAAGGATATTGTTCCCTGACCCCACTATCCTATAAAACTGTACGAATGCTAATTCAGAATTCAAAATACACACGCCAAATGGTATCTCAAAAAATAATCATTTTTTAATTTCACAGGAAACCGTCCTCAAGTCTCAAAAAAAAATTACAATTCAAGTACGGCATATCTATTGCCGCTACAACATAATTATTTAATTACATTATAATTACATAATACATAATTACTTTACAAAAAAATATGCGGTTTTTTTTCTTTTTTTTCCCAACCTATGCTGGTAGCTTTAGAGGATTATTATGCAATCGCGTAAGTGAGCTCAAGGGGCCCTAACCTGTGGACGATGCTAACACTAGCCTTAGCAAGAGCAGTGCTTCGCAGAATCTACCACCGGATTGGAAACGCGACCCACTGAGATCCGACGAGAAATTCAGCGGGCAACGCGGATAAGTGTAGTGGCTGGCCAGTGAGGTTTAACATGAAAAACGAACTAAAATAGAATACATTAATAAGAATATTTGATATGCTTACATGGAAAACGAATTCGTTTGTGTTACGAGGTATGGGAATTTTCGGAGTCGACTCTCCGTTCATGCCAGAGATTGAGATCCAACAGTTGGCCGTCGTTTGACTAGCTTTGCGAGAAGGCATTATTAATACGCGATACGGAAGTTCTGAAATAAGATATTTAAACATATAATATAAATACGATACAATATAATTATCATTATGGAAATTAAATAGGGATTCAAATGTTTAAGTCGAACATATATTAACAACATATTATTTATATTACCTTTAAATTATTATAAACAAATAAAAAAATCTCACTTGTNTTTGACTAGCTTTGCGAGAAGGCATTATTAATACGCGATACGGAAGTTCTGAAATAAGATATTTAAACATATAATATAAATACGATACAATATAATTATCATTATGGAAATTAAATAGGGATTCAAATGTTTAAGTCGAACATATATTAACAACATATTATTTATATTACCTTTAAATTATTATAAACAAATAAAAAAAATCTCACTTGTTGTAGGATACGTGTTCGTGAAGCAATAGTAGTCAACGGCATTCAAAGTCAGTAAGTGATATAAGAATTGTTCCCTCTCCTCTTCGCAGCGCAGAAAAGCGGTTCTTTTGTATTGAGAGCGCAATAGTGTGGTATCGGCTAATAGTTCACGGAGATGTTTCGAGAGGAGCTTCTTCTCAAGCGACAAACGAACCCAAGCACGAGCGTAGCCTATTTCGGTTTTTATATCAGTCATGGCTTGAACATTCCTGAAATAGTATTCAGTGTGCTTGCTTAGTGCGAGTTTTTTAACGTTCTCGACAGCGTAAAAGTTAGCTCATATTTGTATGAAATGGGATCGTTTGCCTACGTTTGCCAACTGCATACAAAAGTGGGTTAACTTTTACGCTATCGAGAACGTTACAAAACTCGCACTAAGCACACTTATATTTAGCAAACTAAACTTTATTAATCGGCTTTTTAATGCTTAAATAGATGGACGAGCTCGCGGCCCAATTGATGTTCAATTATTACGGGGGCCCATATACATCAACAACGTGGCCCACCCACATTGAGACATGAGTTCTTAGTTTTACAGTACCGACGCACTCTTCAAACAGAAACGCATTACTGCTTCACACAGTTATACAAGTTACATTTTTGCGTTTTTCCTTTTTATTAAACGATGTTATTATTTCTTCACCGTGGAAGTAATTCGTGAACATTTATTAAGTACGTATTTCATTAGAAAAATTGGTGTCTGCCTGTGAGATTCGAACACCGGCACAGTTGTATCGCTATGAATGCACCGCCTTAACCTTTAGGCCGCGACGTATTAAAACTGTGAATGGCCTTAAGATGGTAAAAGTAAATGTTAATGTCTGTTTTTCGTTGCTGACCTCATATCAAAGGTCAAGCTCTCGGGCAAGGGCCGCAAAGGATTAACAGGCTGAGTCGATTTGCGTTCTAGGGTTCCTGAATTACTCAGACGGTCCCGAGAGCTATCGCGGGATCCGCCGCGAGAGCTGTCCCGTGACCGCGGACTCACACTGGCTGCTTGTTGAGCTTCAACTTCCGCTCCAACCGATGATAAGTCTGAGCAAAAAAACAAAACAAAAAGGACTCCCTTATCATTGTCATATCATAAAAAAGTACCCTTAAGATAGATCTGCTCATACGGCAGCAAAAATAATACAAAAGTATGTCGGTGATCTTGTTCTTCGTAATTTTGGTTTTAAAAATGATAACATCTGAATTGAAAATTCGCATATCAACTGTACTGCATACTTCAAAACTTTTATCGTCCATAAAACTACTTGCATCATTGCTCTCGTAGTATCCCTTTGGTATCGAAAATATACAATACTTACAGTCAAGACGTTTCCGTAGTACACACCAAGCTAATGCTGCATGTTCCAAAAGACACAAATCCCAGGTGAGTACGGAATAAGACAAGTACTAAACCAAAATAAATTTAATTGAAGCGGCAATAGATATTCCGCACTTGAAATTGTTATTAATATTTCTGGACTTGAGATTTCAGTGAATGCTGTGTATTGATTTTTGCAGAGGATCAAATTATTCGAAAAATTGGCTTACCTGGTGTTAGATAATTGGGATCGATAGGTTTAGTTGAATTGCTGCATTGTTCCAGCTCTTGGTAGTTAATGAGATGCATCCAGAGCGCTGACTTTCCCATTTTGTGTTGTAGGCCATGTGACCACAGTCGTTCTAATAAATCACACAGGGACGCAATCATAGTGCTTTCCTCGACACCAGTAATTGACACTTCGCTCCCGAAGCTTAAGTTAGACTCTTCTGTACCCATCTTCTCCAATAGCATTCGTTTTGTTTTGCTCTTACATTCCTGTCAAAATTCAGATCATAAGATAGCCAGTTTTTTGGACAACTAATAAATAAATACTATTGATGTATTACATTTTTTAGAAGGGCCTTAATTTTATTCAGGAAAATTAATTACTGTAAAACTTATTACCAAATTAAAATAGTTTATGCGTGTAATTTGAATTTCACCATTAATGGTGATGAAAAAAAAAAGTATTTTAAAATATCGGTTGGGCGTATTTTGAATTGCATTAGCTTCAAAGCAGTCATACGTATCGAATTCAACAGGCGTTACATAATATAATTTTTAGAATCCGACCTCAGTAAGACGTGTAACTAACTGTTCTGGTAACCATTTAATGTCAGGCGAACCATGAACTCGACTGCCCTCCAAAGCGTAAAATATTAATTGTATGCTCAATGTGAGTAGATAGTGTTTATGAGAATTAGGATAATTTAATACAAATTGTCATATTCCATCTCGAACTTTCACTCGGCCAGAACGCATAGTATTTTGATAAAATTCAAGGCTTGTGAGAGCCTGCACATATAGACACCGCCTTCTAGCTAAAGTGACGCAAAGCAACCCTGCCTTCCAATTTCATGTAAATGTTTGAATCGGATTCTGAGCGAATGTCATTACGCAATCCACGGGACCCAGTATCCAATTAATAGAAGGGATACCATAAGATTTTTTAACCATTACTGCCCGAACTATTGCCCTTTTAGGCATATGATTATACGGTTCAATACCACTACCTGTTGCTTCAGAACTCAATCTGAGTTCAGTACTATTAAGTTTTTATAATAAAATCGGTAAGCTGACTCTTTTTAGACATTTTTTATCGCTTAAACGGGCTTGGTAGTGGGGGGGGGGGTAGATGGGGGGTAAGAACAGGTGGGGTGTACTCCACGTGTTGTTATTTGTGGCGCCACTTTGAAAAGGCGGCACGACATGAAAACCCTCTGGTCGTGGCCGCCGGTAATTACATACCCGATCCTGAGGATCGAATGGTAAACAGTCGACGTCGCCCTAAACACGTCATTACAGATCCTCCAGAACCATTAACGGTACTTTTAGGTGGGTGCTTGAGGGTAAGTACCGATCACCGTCCACGCCGAACCCGTCGCTTGCGACGAAGGGCTCGACGAGTAAATTAACCCATAGATACAACCCACTGAGTTGCTCGCCGGATCTTCTCAGTGGGTCGCGTTTGCGATCCGGTGGTAGATTCTGTGAAGCACTGCTCTTGCTAGGGCCAGTGTTAGCAACATTTCCAATTTGAGTCCTGTTAGCTTACCTACTAGCTCGGTGAATTTAGAATAACCCCTTGAGGTTTTTTTTTTATTTTATTTTTTTATTGCTTAGATGGGTGGACGAGCTCACAGCCCACCTGGTGTTAAGTGGTTACTGGAGCCCATAGACATCCACAACGTAAATGCGCCACCCACCATGAGATACAAGTTCTAAGGTCTCAAGTAGTTACAACGGCTGCCCCACCCTTCAAACCGAAACGCATTACTGCTTCACGGTAGAAATAGGCAGGGTGGTGGGTACCCGCGCGGACTCACAAGAGGTCCTACCACCAGTAAAGAATTAAGGTTACTAGAATAGGTAGAAAAAAAAAAGTTATCTGTGTATAAACATCACAACTTAATGCCGTCACCCGTTTTCAGACACGAAGTCAGTCTTAATTATATTTTATTGTATAAAGGCTGTACGTTTTTTAGCTTAAACCGGAACGCGTTACTGTTTCGCGGTTGAGATGGTGTTATCAGCGCTGTAAGCTCAATACCTAATAAACTGCCTGCCCAATTCAACTGAAGTTTGCGTATATGTAACACCCTTCCTATAGTTCATACCTTAAGGAGTTTCTCCACAAATGTCCTGTTATTCTGTGCAATGGCTGCAGGCGTGACTTCAGTAGACAACCGTCTGCTGAAGTCTCCGAGCAACAACTCTGGCGGACAGTCTTTCACTTGCCATTTCGCATTTTTTATTCGCTTTAGACTGTTCGTTCTGGAAGATCAATATTTCATTTGGCGTTTGTTTTTATTCCACTAATTTTACAATGAAAGCACATAAAGCAAGCGTTCAAAGCAATTGTAGTGCAATAAATCTTAAAGCACAAGATTTGAGCAATCGGAAAATTATAGACAGTAAAAATATAGAAATGGAAGGCTAAAAGCTAGTTTGATAAAATTAAAATACGTAATAAATACCTTTCTTGTTACTTATTTTTAGTGAATTATCAGTTCGTACGATGACTTCTTATCATTTCCGATTGCACGAAACTTGCTTATATTTCCACGGAAAAACTTATATAGGTGGACATTCAAAAAACACATTTAAAATATTATTTTTTATTTCAATTTAAGTAAATAAAAAAATCTAACATATGTAAATAAAATAATTATTTAAATTACAACAGATTAACTTATATTAAAGGTACTTTGTTACCTACTTTTGGAACGACGAGTAACACTTGCCGTGTTAAATTTAATTCAAGCAGATACTAAATTAAAAAACAGCTGCACTATGCACAGGATAGTTTCATAGTTATACATGCAATTTCGATAAACATGCACTTTTAGTACATTCGTTACGTGGCAAACAAAACTATATTTATTCAACTAACTACGAGTATAACATTTATGAAGCAAGTTTTTCGAATGTTTAATAATTATGCCGAATGTTCTATTGTTTTTATTATTGAAATTTAGGGATGTGTTATTTGCAAAGCTGTTCAGTCTACCTATTCTAACGAAATGTATCTTTATTAGAAAGACAAATATTTAAATATTTAATAAGCACATCCCTAGATTTTTTCAAGTGAGTCAATGAGTAAATACTGATGTAATAAATAACAACAAATAAATAGACTGTAAAAAGTTCTCAATGACAAATCTATTTTCGATTAAATGTAAATTTAACACAAACGTAACAAAATATGTTCCTTTTTTATATAAAAGGAATTTTATAAAAGCATTTAAGTTTTTTTTAATGGCATCACAATGGAATACATGAATTCCGAACAAAAGTTTTGTAATCTCATACAATTTTATCGTCATTTCAAATCGGTGTATTTTGATTTTCTTCATGAATAATAAAACAGGCACAACAGCATGCACTCACTATAATAATAACAAACCATAATAATTACTATTAAAAAAAACATTTATAATGAGCATGCATTGTCAGCTTAAAGCCTCAAATCTTTTCATAAATTGTAAATTCGTAGGAGATCTTACATTTAGTCACATTCCATAAATTAAGCATGTAATCCGTATGAATGTCATGTGTTGAACACCAATTATTTTAATACTGTGTTTTATTAGATCAGACATTGATAGTAAAATTGTGCTAATTTTTTATTTTTTACTTACTAGAGTATGAGATTCTTAAAAAGTATCATTTACCGAATTAACCTAAGTTAATGGAAGAAATTTGTTTAACCTCTAACTTAATATACAGTTGTACTGTTCTATCAATCTATACAATATTTGAAGGAAACATGCGGGATCACGTTTGCAATTTATAACTTTAGTATGAAAACTTTTATTAATTAAATCACATCGCACATGCAAGCTTCTATCCAACTGACATCAAACATCGACTTTTCAAAAGTGAAAATATAGATTAGTTGATTTTAAATTTTAATAAGTCTTATATACCTTGAGATAATTAAAATACGATAGAAAGTATGATACATTGGATATTATTCATGTTAGCAACTAAACTTATATTTTCGCCTTCATTTATGCCTAATAAGCCTTTGAAAGCACCTCTCGCAGTTCATTTTCGAGGGTGTTTATTGAGACAAGTACAGTAAAATATAAAAGTGCTATAAATAAGTTCGTTTCATTCATAGTGAGCACGCTTAAATTTTGTATTCATACCTTTACATAACGAGAGAATATATTAATGAGATATATACTAATAAATTCATAGAATAATGAAAGAGCCGCTGAAATTTCAACGTTGAATTCAATTGTTAAGCTTTATGAAGGGACGTAAAGAATAAGTGAATGTAAGGGTTTAAAGACGCAGAAGTAAATCAAGAGCGTCGTACAACTAAGCGAACATAAAATTAGGGTTCAGCATTAACTTAAATGTCGAATTATTATAACTGCACAATACAGGACAAATTGTAGAAAATTACGTCACCAGAAAAATGGACGCTACAAAGAAATATCGCAATCGGTCACTGGGAGGGAATTCTCTTCAGAGTTAGATATGAAAGTAGCCTGAGTCGACACGGTAAAAGGTCTTTAACACTACCACATACCACTTCTGCATGTGGACATACTATCCACATTAATACAGAAAAATCCAGAAACACTATTCTTCTCTATAATAAGACTCAGCAGTGACGCAAGCACACCTGAATACTTTTAAACGGTAGACAAAATTTCGGTGTGAGATGATGTCTGAAAATACCTAGTTGCAGTATACCTTAGAGTAGGGATAAAATAAATAAAAAGTTAAATTTAAACATATTTGGTATCCATGAATGATTTATTTAGATAAAGAATAATGATGAATATTATGTGTGTCCAACATTTCTTTATAAGTGTCATTACTACCCGTGTAACGGATTGATTCTATTTTCGGTATTAAAACTGTCCATTAATACATACAGATCACTTGAAAAAAGACGCGTAGCTCTATGACTAATGAACGTATTATTAATAATGATGAATTACGTATGAGTACATCACCGAAAGAGCGCGGAGAAATATATTCATTGTCAAAATATTTATGATAGAAATATGAGATTTAATGTAAATTGTATTACATACAGGTCGTGATAGACTGCGTGGAACTACAGGGTTATGGTTTTACTGCAGAAGTGGGCTAAAGACCTAATACCGTGCGGCGATTCGAGTGGCGGGACGCGATCCTCGTAGCGCAGGTGTGCTAACACCATAATGAAGCAGTTAGTCTGCGGAGAGGCACCTGAGGTCAGGCGCGGCGAGTGCGTGCGCGTCGAGCCGGGCGGGGAAGGCGCGGTAGTAGGCGGCGCGGTGCGGCAGGCGCTCGGCCGGCGCGTCCACCTCCAGCTCCGCCCCGCCCCCCGCCGCCGCGGCCCCCGTCCCCCCCGCCCACACGCAGTACCCGCGCGTCGCCAGCCCGCCCTCGCCCAGCCTGCCCCTGCACCAAACAACGCCAAACCTCAACCTCCGTCCGCGCCGAGACCAAGGACACTGCACCCGACGCCCGACTGCACTAGACCAAACTCAACACTAATGATATTCATAATTCGAAAAGTAAGAGGTCTTTTGTTGACCAAATAATCAGATCTGATACATTTTTTATTACTTATTTTACCCTCCCCTGGTCTTCCATGCCCTTGTAACGTTCGCTTAATATTGCATTCCTAAAATGTCCTAATTGATAATACCCACGCATCCAAAATCTTTTTGTTTTAAGCCACGAGAAAGTCTCTTTAAGAAATCGTTGAATCTCCCTATACGTATTTAATTTAATGAATTGCATTGCAAATATGTTGGTGCGTTTTTGTTTTGTGAACGACTACATATCGGGTCGGTTAGTTCTTAAACGTGCGGGTTAGTCTCGACACGGGTTACTGCCGCAATAGCTGTTATTTATTAATTTACCTCCAACGTATTTGACATCACACAGATACAAACCTGTATTTGGCTACGTAATTTTATCCCATCGTAACGTGTGTGCATGCGGAGTGTGGACATTCGAACATGAATATACATACCTGACGATCCTAGTCCGATATTCGAAGACTTGCAAATTAACGTCATATTCCCCCCAATTAGCCATGATCTTGTTGTCGATGAGCGTGGCGAACATTTGGGTTTCGAGGAACCGTGACAGGAATGGTCGGTGACGCTGAGGCTGGTCGGAGAGGAAGGAAGCCTTGTCAAAGTTCACCATCGATTCGCGTGAGCTCAGCCATGACTCGCGGTCCTAAAACATGAAATTGTATGTTTTAACGATCTTGTAATTATAATCCGTTAATAGCGGACGAGTTTCCGTTTTCTATATCCATACTACATGTCGAAATTACTGGGCGTATTGCGAGCACGCTTAAGTCTATGATCTTGCCTAATTTTGCAGCGAAGCAGTCGCGTGTGTTCCACTTTAAAGGGTAAGGCTCTCTAAATTCTGTTTCTAAATCATGGTTTTTTGTTGTTATTACATTATTTCGCAGTAATAATTCAAACTCACCTGATCGGGCATGATAACGAAATTTTCATACATCAAAAATATATGAACAAATCTATTGAGAAACGTTTCTCTAACAGCACTGTTAAAACGCATATCTTCATTATATTGCTCTTCATCGTTAAGAATTTTCTTTTTAGTAGTTGGCATCACTGTTTCGGCATCCACGTCGTCAATGTTGACACCTTAAAAAATCATTTTAAAATTCAGAACTGAATTTTTTTTGGTACATAAGCTTTTGAGTTTGTTTCGTGCCACATGCCGGATCAACCAAAGGCAGTACTGAAGTGACAGTTGTAGATGGAATATTATTAACAAAATTAAATTGGACTTATTGGCGGGAACGCGAGGAGCGAAGTTGTGTGAATCGTTTTATTTTATCTATTTAAGTTTTCTTCAGGTTTAAATGTCTAATAACGGTGGTTTAGTAAGTGTTCAAATGTGTGTACTAAAATGAAACAAAACCGCTGGACATAGCTTCTCGGGATCCTCCAAAAAGTCCACTGAAAAAATCTTAGTAAGTGACCACTATTTTACTGAGATTATATTTCATCCTATATCATCTCATTTCATCCGAGTTGATTATTGTCTCAAATTAATCATCTTCATTTCATTTCACTCCATAATATCATTTATCATAAAAATATGAATATAAATTAAAATAAGACATGACTTAAAGGTCTCAGTTACCAGGTCATAAAATCCTTTTAAAAAAAAACTAACCTGTGCGCTTGACGATATCGGCGATGCGCTGCAAGGCATCGGGCCGCAAGGGAGCGCGGCGGGTGGGCGAGGCGGGAGGGGAGGCGTTCAACGGCCTACTTTCTTCCCACTCTAGCACATCGTGAAACGAGTGCTTCCTGCGCAGGCCGCCTAAACAACATTTTATCCTCATTCATATCTCAGCCCCCAAAAAATACCACCACTTACTAAATACATTAGATGAAGAAACTTTCAGTAGGGTTTTTTTTTTATTGCTTAGATGGGTGGACGAGCTCACAGCCCACCAGGTGTTAAGTGGTTACTGGAGCCCATAGACATCTACAACGTAAATGCGCCACCCACCTTGAGATATAAGTTCGAAGGTCTCAAGTATAGTTACAACGGCTGCCCCACCCTTCAAACCGAAACGCATTACTGCTTCACGGCAGAAATAAGTAGGGTGGTGGTACCTACCCGCGTGGACTCTCAAGAGGTCCTACCACCAGTAAAGTGTGAGGGTAAGTAACCCAGTAAAAGGGTAGTCGATAGGTGACCAATTAATTTTGTAGTTGCAATGAATTTTGTAATAATATTTAATGAACTAATTTAACAAAATTGCCATTTTAATTAAAGCCACGCAACGTTTTTATGATAAGTTATATGATATAATTATATAATTAGTAAGTTAATTTATTCACGGTAACAATACGCGTGTATTTTTATTATTATTTAATTAATCTGTTTACGATGTAACTAGTACATTGAAAACAAACTGTTTTTTGGCTTGTTGCTCTTTGGAACTGAGGTACCTACTGATATATTATTTATTATACGCATATACTTGGTCTGGCCAAAAATACTGTTACAATTAAAAATAAACAAAATATTACATTTGAATTTTGAATCTGTCATTTTTATATGATTGCTCATTGAGTTTTCTCATTTTGACGCCAATACATTGTACAATATTTTGCGATATTAAAATGGAGTTGGGTGATAAAGAGAACTGAACCGCTGTGATTGCATTACACCAAGTAGGTATGGAGCCAAATGCAATTTTTAAAACTCTCCATACGCTTGGTATTAGTAAAATGTTTGTAAAAGATCTGGCCGTCCACGTAGTGTTCGTACGAAAAAGGTGGTCAAAGTAGTAAGGGAAAGAATTCGAAGAAATCCTGTCCGAAAGCAAAAGATTTTATCTCGGGAGATGAAGATAGCACCTAGAACCATGTCGCGTATTTTAAAAGATGACTTAGGACTTGCAGCCTATAAGAGACGTACTGGTCATTTGCTAACTGATAATTTAAAAGAGAATAGGGTGGTAAAATCGAAACAACTACTGAAGCGGTACGCAAAGGGAGGTCATAGAAAATTTTTGTTAACGAATGAGAATTTTTTTACAATTGAGCAACATTTTAACAAACAAAATGACCGTATTTATGCTCAAAGCTCTAAGGAAGTTTCCCAATTAGTCGACAGAGTGCAACGTGGGCACTATCCGACTTCAGTGATGGTTTGGTGAGGTATTAGCTATGAAGGAGTGACTGAGCCATACTTTTGTGAAAAAGGTATAAAAACATCGGCACAAGTGTATCAAGATACCATTCTTGAGAAGGTAGTGAAGCCCCTTAACAACACCATGTTCAATAATCAAGAATGATCCTTTCAGCAAGACTCGGCGCCAGGTCATAAAGCTCGGTCTACGCAGTCTTGGTTGGAAACGAACGTTGCGGACTTCATCAGAGCTGAAGACTGGCCCTCGTCTAGTCCCGATCTTAATCCGCTGGATTATGATTTATGGTCAGTTTTAGAGAGTACGGCTTGCTCTAAACGCCATGATAATTTGGAGTCCCTAAAACAATCCGTACGATTGGCAGTGAAAAATTTTCCCATGGAAAGAGTGCGTGCTTCTATTAATAACTGGCCTCAACGTTTAAAGGACTGTATTGCAGCCAATGGAGACCACTTCGAATAAGCTTTTTATACTTTAAATTGTTTTATATTTATGTATTAAACTAACACACTGTAAAAGTAATAAATGTTATTTGCAATAGAAATTTTATTTTTTCCTTTGTCTCAGTATTTATGGCAAGACTAGGTATACCTACTACAATTGAAATATTTAAGTACTATTCGTAGATTTTAATTAAATTTCGAATTAGTATGCGACACATCGTTCTCGCGATTATTTCTCTTTCTTATATTTTAAACAATAATCTAAGAATTCTGATATTGTTTTACGTCAGGCTCAGCAGTAATGCACCGTGCGTGGCTAATTTTGTAATCATATGTAACATTCGAGTATTCCGGTATGATCCATGGTCAGCTCGTTGTTGATTTATCAATTTCTATTTTGACAAGGGGACGGTAAAATATGAACTGTCTGAATATAGTCTTCTGAATTTTTCATGTCGACGGGAGAAATCGGAATGTCGTAACTCGCATTTTGGGCTAAATCTTTTATCATAATATATATAAATTACGTGTCACGTTGTTTGTCCGCGATGGACACCTAAGCTACTGAATCGATTTTAAGTTTCTTTTTTTTAAATATGTGTTTTGTTCCAATTTAGGCCATAGGACGGTTTTTATTTCGATTAATGGTCGCAATATTTATTAATTGACAATAAAATGATTTCGTAAGTTGATTATTGTTATTAATTGTAAGTTTCATAAGTCTAAAACAGATGGCGCCTTTAATCAGTTTTTACAGGCAATTGTGATACTGTCCGACATTAATATCTCATTGATATTAAAAAATACCAACGTTTCAAATAAGCTACAATTTAATGGCATAAACACCCCATGTTACTAAGGCTAAAGTATAAGTGAAATTTATTTCGTAGTAAACACAATACAGTGAAATCCAACTGTTCTTACTTTGTTAATTTTTGGTATGCTATGCTATCCGGCCACGTCTTATTTAGAAACAAAAACCTTAGCCACAGCAACGTGTGGCCGGGTCTGCTAGTTTTATATACATTTATGGCTCTGGTGTAAAGTTGGCTTTTTCAAGTTACGACAATTACGCTTTGTTCCGTCGATGTGATCGTAGAAATGGTAAACTTTTAACAATATAAAACAAAATAAAACACGAACTGAAGATTTCTTACCCGATGGTAAAGTACAACTGCTGCTCATGTTGTCATTCATGTGCCTATACGATGTTCCGTTTAGGGGCGCACTTAATTTGGTTGGTTCCGTCTCGGGTCTTTGAATCTAAAAACGTTTTATTTGATCTTGCTTAAAATGTTGAATTTTTTGGTATGTAGAACAAATCATTATATTATTATAATAAGTCTAACCTGATATTTATCCATTAAATGATTGAGTTCCTCAATGAAGGATGTTCTGTGTGGGAATATCGGCAATTCTTCTGGTAGTTGTATGTCGGGTTTGTCGATGTCTACTAGACACAGTGCTGCTTCAGAACAAAGGGCAATGCTTCTGGGTCCGTTAGCGCAAACGGCCGCGCTGTCTGTATGTAAACCTATGTACGAATACAAAATAAAAAAATCATTTAATAAAGTACTTAATATAAGTAGTAAATAGCATAAAAATCTAAGTATTACATAGCGTAATAAACTGTTAAACTACTGTTCATACTGTAGAATACATCTGGTTTTTTTATGTTTGAGAAGTTACTTTTAACTACTGGTACTAAACTTACTGGTAGCCCAGAGGCCTTTCTAATTTTACCAGGGCAAGTCAATACATCTGGTTCTACTGTATCAGCAGTAAGTACAGTTATTCTATCGCTTTTTTTTTAGTTTCCATCAATATCTCCAGTTTGATCTCAGCTTTAGGGTCTGAAGAGATATCATATTGAAATAAGAATTATCTTATTACAACTTTTTATTATTATACCTATTTTATATTGACTATTCAGTACATAAATGTAAATAAAATAAAAAAACGGTAAATGTATTACACTTTTTACCAAACAAATTAAAAAAAGAACGGTATGTATACGGTATGTTGAGATACCGTTTTTCTTTTTTTTAATTCCCCTATTTTTAAAAAAAAAAGATTATAGCCTATGTCACTCGAGAATAGTGTAGCTTCCAAACAGTGAAATAATTTTTCAAATCGGTTCAGTAGTTTCGGAGCCTATGCAATACAAATACAAACAAACAAATCTTTCCTTTTTATGATATTAGTATAGATCACGCGCACATCCCTATTTGTTCTGCTCGTAGGTCTTGGAGGGGCATGCAAGCGGGCGGAGCGGCAGAGACGCCGCCGGCCGACCACGAGGCTTCGAGAAAGAAGTCGTCGGTCTTTCAGTCGACATAGCACCATCGAACTATACCTTACGTCGACATCATTAAAAACTATACACCTTAAGCTGGGACACTTTTAATTCATTATAATTTTATACTAGCGACCCGCCCTCGCTTCGCTTCGGAAACATTAAATTTTATTATTGATAGCTGAGTCCCGCGAGTAGTGAAAGTTCCGTCAAAATCGGTCCAGCCGTTCCAGGGATTAGCCGGAACAAACAGACAGACAGACAAAAATTGTAAAAAATGATATTTTGGTGTATGTACCGTATATATATTCATATGCATGTAGTAAAAACAGGCTATTTCAATATTACAAACAGACACTCCAATTTTATTTATATGTATAGATTTTACCCATGACAAATGGTACGGGCGCGTCGAGGAAGTGATATAAAGGAGCCGGCAGTATCGGTACGTAGACGTGCGCCCAAGTGAAGGGAAGCAATAGCGATACCATACATTCAGAAACCAGCATTAGCTTGTTGTAATCTGAAAACGAGAAATTGTTCGAATAAAACTTTTAATATTCACATAGTGAGTCAGTATTTAAATGGTCAAAGGTGTGATCATAAACATCCGCAGCGGCAGAATCACGCACAGTCAACAGCGAAACTGATTTCAAGTTTTTTTTTTTTATGATTGAAAGATTACTGGTGGCCCAGAGGCCTTTTCAGTTTCACCAGGGCAGATGGGCGAGCAAAGGCTCAGCCAGGAGGGGTGGGATTTGATAACAACTGCTCGAGCGCCTCCGAAGGAGACCTGTCAACTTAAGAGCAACTGCTTCGCGAATGAATCTACTACCGGATCGGAATCGCGACCTGCTGAGAAGATCCGGCGAGAAACTCAGCGGGGTGATGCATGGGTTAGGTTGCACAGCGAATAATGCAAAGATTATTGGATCTGATGTATCCGTAAGGACGTGTTTAAGGCGTCGACGGTGATCATTTCAAGTCTCATTTGAAGAATGACATGTCGTACTGTTTTTACTGGCGGTAGGACCTCTTGTGAGTCCGTACGGGTAGGTACCATCACCTTGCCTATTTCTGACGTGAGGAAGCAATTAATTTCGGTTTGAAGGGTGGGGCTGCTGTTGTAAGTATACTGAGACCTTAGAACTCATATCTCAAGGTGGGTGGCGGCATTTACTTTGTAGATGTGAACACTGGGTGGGCTGTGAGCTCGTCCACACGAAATAAAATAAATAAATCGTAGCCTTGCCGATAAACCGATCACTCCAGAGGCATACAGTAAGTGACAACGGTTATGTCTGGAACCACTCTTTCCAGGTAGTACAAATGATGGTAGATGGTCAAAATGGAATAACGGAACCATCTTAAGCATGAACGGAAATACACAAGATTTTAAAAAGTTGTTGCTGTTTTTATGAGTATGTAAGGGCGTATTTATTTATTAAAATGTAAAGAATTATTGCTTACCAGTTGATCTAAGTAATACTTGATGTTCAAGTAGAACACACGTGAACAATTGTACTACTAGTTCAACGCCTAAATTAGAAAACATGACACGCAATGAATAGTCTAACAGTGGTAACTCTTCTGGAGGATTTGGCATTCTTATCACCTGGAAATATTATTAAAATTTTAAATAGACATAGATAGAAAAATTATTGCATTCAATTCCCAAATCATAAACATATTTTATGATACATTCAAGACTGAAATTTTAACCTGGTCCCCACAGTACAACAGTGGCATTAAGGGTGTCCAGCAATACAACATTATTCATAGTATATGTATTCATAATATCGACGGGTGAAAGGCTATTTGATTTAAACGACATTTCGCTTATTACGCGACATTTAACGGCCGTCTGGTGTAGTGGTAAGTGACATGGTCACTACACAAGGGGGTCGCGGGTTCGAATCCCGCCAAGGGAAGATATTTGTATGATAAATATAAATGTCTTTTCCAGGTTTATGTATGTATATTAAATATTAAATATATGTACGTGTATAATAAAAATCTTACATTTATTTCCGTTATCTGGTACCTGTAACACAAGTTCTTTACGAACTTAGCACGGGACCAGTTAACGTGGCGTGATTGTTATTAAATATTTATTTATTTATTTGTTTTTAATCAAAGATCCTTTTTATTTGGTATTAATAATAATATCAATAATTCAATCTACATATATATAAAAATGAATTGCTGTTCGTTAGTCTCGCTAAAACTCGAGAACGGCTAAACCGATTTGGCTAATTTTGGTCTTGAATTATTTGTGGAACTCCAGAGAAGGTTTAAAAGGTAGATAAATATGAAAATGCTCGGAATATAAATAAAAATAGCAATTTTGTTTTTCCTTTGATGTGTCCCCCGTCGGACGGATTCCTTTTCTTTGTTTTATACAAAAGTTTAGGTCTTTTATTTATCGATTGAGGTACTACGAAATCTGCCGGGTCAGCTAGTTTTTTTTATAAAAATTCAATAATTTTCAAAGAGCCTAAGAAGTTTTTTGTCATGATATTTTTTCCAAGTTTTAAGCTTTAAATGACCCTACTGTAAATTTGCAAAAATGTCGCTTAAACCATATAGCCTTTCCCCCTACGATATATTAAATAAATAAAGTCAACCAATGCTTACAACTGGAATGGCTTCAAGATGTGGTTGAGGAGGTGGCACATAAAGTCTTAAAGCTTGACCTGGCAAGGGCACTGGTACTTCGTAAAGTAAATTATAAACATAAGATTCTGGGCTAAGACCAGGTCCTGGTTGTCTTGGTAAGGATCTAAAAGATAACAGATTTATATACTTATTGTAGCCTATAGGATAAGATGGCCAGTGTATTTGTATTGAGGACTGTGGAAATAGGTTTCAATTTTTTTTAAGTAGTACGTAAAATAATTTTTTAAGTAGTACGTAAACGTACACACACACAAACAAACACACACACACACACACACACACACATATACGCGCGCGCTCATGCATATATACTCTTTTATTAATTCTTAAGGTCTGTGGTCAAATTGAGAATAGACTAAAATTGTTTGTCTTTAATATTATTATATTTATCTTTAGTGTAGCCTTGACAAAATCCATGACTATAGAAGTAAAGTCTTTAACTATAAAACCATAACAATGTTTAAACTTATAATTTAAATTAATAATTATGGTCGAATTTCGATTACTGGGTGACCACTAGTATGTACAATTATACACTATAATTTAAACACAAAAAAATTTAGGTTTATAATATCCCTTCAGCTTAGATAGGTATGGGGTAACCATTGATCCTGGTTGTGGACGAGTCCAGTAGCAAAACATGTAACAAAAAATGAAATATAATACTTTATTCGAGGAAAACATTAAATCCTTACCTGAACAAGTTTTCTAAAAACATTTGGGCAACTCTTACAAAGGGGTATTGACAAATCAGTGCTATACTTTTAGCTACATAGAGTTTATCTTTGGCTATATCAAAGTATGTTAGAGCAGCACCAGTATGAGGTGTAAGTTTGAATGATCTGGGGAGAGATCGTGAGCTCTCCTTACCAGAGCTTTTTCTATGGCCTGGTGGGGTCTGGCCACTAGAGAGTTCTGTAATGTACATCGCCTGAAATAAAACAAAGAAGTTTTATAAGCCTGAGCAACTATTAAACTGAACAATCAGATATAATTGAAACTTAGGAGTAACAATATAGTAGATTTAATTAATAAATAAATTATTTCAATTATTGTCTAATGAAAAAGATGCAAATTTTTTACCTGTAAAGTATGCATAGCACTACAGATGTTTTTATTTCTGACCTCTTCATAAAATATAAGGCTAAATCCATAATATCTAGATGCATTTTCTCTAGTTACTACAAAACTGTGAAATTGGGGCTCCAATGAATGCTTTTGGGTTCTAAATTGGAGGCCAGCTGGTAGACAGAGCTAAAATGACAGACATATTGAAGTTGTTGTGGTCTAAGAGATTAGAATTCAGAGTACTTAGACCTAGCAAAGTAAAAGTAGGTACTAGTGCACAATTCTCACACACAGATATCAAATTATGACAGAGCTAAAATGACAGATATATTGAAGTTGTTGTGGTCTAAGAGATTAGAATTCAGAGTACTTAAACCTAGCAAAGTAAAAGTAGGTACTAGTGCACAATTCTCACAGACAGATATCAAATTATCTAAGGAAAGACAGACTTGATGGTTTTCATTGTAAAAAGTATAGTAAAAATTAAACTGGCAAATTGATTAGCTTATGTAACTACTGGCGGTAAGATTAATGGTAAGTTTGTACAGATGTGTACACAAAGCATTCATGTATTTCCTTTTAAAGAGTAAAATTCTGCAGCATCTTGGTTATGTTTGTGACATTGTTGATGCCTCTGAGCAATGTTGACTACTTACAATCAAGTGGGTAGTATGCCTATAATGGCAATAAAAATATTTTAAAAAGAAACAGCTGTTTTATAAAATACTTGAGACTTCAACCTCAAGTTTCAAAGACCGTGATAGCTTTAAGCTGTGATGTCTATAGGCTCCAGTAAGTCTTTAACCAGGTATGTTGTGGTCTCATTAACCCATTAAAAATTTAAAGAAAATTAAACACTTATTCACACCACTACTATGGAATTTTTACTTTGTACAAGCAAAGTAATGTCTTGGGGCTTTTGAATATTTGGTGCTGGTATGTGGACCCATATGGCTCTAAGCTATATTGGTGATAGTCACTGCAGAGCTAATAACTTATTAGCTCTGCAGTGACTACTGATATCATTTAATTGTTGGGTTTGATAATAATAAATTCATATATGTAAAATTGTTTATTTTTTCGGCAGCTATTCCGTATTTTGTTTATGTAGTCTTGAAATCATATGAATAAACATCACTTACCATACAGGTTGCATGTTCATCAAATTGATTACTAGGAACATTTTCAGGATAGTGAGCTAAAATTTTTCCTTTATAGGATCGGTCGAGAGGAGATACGTGTAAATTATCACCTATGTTGAGGATATAAATTGTTTATTCATTAAAATTTTGTAAAAACAGAAAAATTTTTAACCACGTTTGAAGCTGTTACTTACCACATAGTCTATCAGGCTCTAATCCAGAATCGAAATCAAGTCCACATATAGCAAAATAATCAGCAAAACGACAACTAACAGACAAATCAGGGACAGACATATTTCTATCGACCCGTTATTTACTACTATTTGAGACACTTTCTCTTCTATTCACAATAGAATATAGATTTTGTTTCAGCATTGTATTTGTGTTGTATTTTAAAAACTTAAATAAATTACAGCAAATTGCCCCATAAGGAATTCTTTGTGAGGCCCTTTTTTATTTACCAATGAATAAATTTAATAAAAAATAAAACGTAAAAATATCACCAATAGTATTTTTGACTGTTTATTTGTTTAATTTGTTCAATCGGACAGGCAAAGGGAATACGAAACGTAGCATTGTGCTGCTATTTAAGATAGTAGGTGAGATGCCCAATTTAGTAAAATGTAAAATGTAAAATGTAAAGCAGGAGGAGCCCAAAACCGTAAATCAGTCACTATCTTAAACTTATTAAAATCCATTGTTATAATTTAACAGAAGACTTTCTATTACTTGAGAGAGTATAACTTTATCAAGAATTCCATTGCCCAGCTCTTCCCGTGGGTGTTGTTAATGGCGACTAGTGGATTTTCTAGGTAGTATCCAACATACTGTTACAACTAGTATACAACTAACATTTCCTGTATTACAACTAGTTTATAACATAAAATTAAACATTTCCTGGTCTTGAGGCACATTGGGAACTCACATTGGTTGTTTCACCACCATTCTGTCTAATTTTGTCGTTGTGCGTGTAAATTATACGTTCCGTTTGAAAGACAGAGGCACCGTGATTTTACAATATACCTCATTCCTTAATGTAATGTCTATAAGCTGTTGCGATCACTTCACGCAAGATGATCCGTGAGCTCATCTATACTAATATTATAAAGAGGAAAGATTTGTTTGTTTGTTTGTTTCGAATAGGCTCCGAAACTACTGGACCGATTTGAAAAATTCTTTTTCCATTAGAAGTCGACATTGTCCCTGATGAACATAGGTTACTTTTTTAAATTTTTTTTTTATTTTTATTTTTTTGGTTTCATGTGTGTTTTAATGTTTCCGAAGCGAAGCGAGGGCGGGTCGCTAGTTTATCCATATAAGAATAAAATATTCATTTGATATTAATTTTTTCATTAACAGAATTAATTAAAAGAAAAGTATATTTAGTTTGGGAAGGTTTAACAAGGGCGGGATGATCTTTCACCGAGCGGGTGACCTTGCTCGGTAGACCGACAGTCCAAATGTTGTTATTCGGAAATATTGTATACATCCGAAGACTTACCTTGCAAATGTCGTAGGCGACGTAGGTCGTACACACAAATTTCTCGGAACGAAACGTAAGCGGGCGTTAGTCGATGCGGGTAGGCTATGGAGTTAATACTGGTAGTTTTCCAATTACAGCACAAGAGTGCATTATGCGGCATAATGCTCAACTAAGCTTCAGCATAATTCGGCATTGTGCGTCACTGAGTCGCATTATGCTCTGTAATTGGAAAACTATGTATTAGTTTTGCCGAATTTATTTTATTTACATTATGCCGCATAATGCGCTCTTGTGCTGTAATTGGGAAACTACCACTAACTCTATGGTAAGTACAAAGACAAACACGCTTTACCATAAGTCAGTTAGAGAATGCTGGTGGTGGGAGTATATATTAAGTGTATAATCTATGGTGGGAGTCATATTAAATGTGTAATAAATATATGAGTATTATCTATGGTGGGAAGTTATGAATCAAAGAAAACAATAATTTTTAAAACCAAATCTTAACATTAACAACTGTCGACTACTACGAGATTACCGTGTATTTTTTGCGCGTTGTGGTAGTGTCGACTGTCGTGATGTTAGTCAAAACTTAAAAAGTGTGCGTGCTGTGTAGCTTGAGGAAAATAAAATATTTTACTCAGCGTACATACAAATGGGGAAACCAAAATACTGAATAGCTATTTTTAATGTCACTCTCATTTACTAGACTTTGTCTAAGCAGATTTCCTTTAATTTTATATTACGATAATAATTTGAAAGGTCACGGTCAAGTTATTGAAGTATTACACGATAACGAGGTAATTTCTTAGACTAATTATGTATTTATCCAAATTACACATCCTGTACTTTACCGATGATAGGATTTTAAGCCCGCACCGGTAAGCAGTCATTCGTTCAAGGGTGGGACCGCCGTTATACAATACAATTGAGACTTCGACCTCACGTCTCAAGACCGAAGACGGCATCACATTGTGGTATCTATGGGCTCCCGTAATCACTTGGCACAAGGTAGGCAAGAACACTTTACGTAATAAAATAAAATAAAAAAAAGTAGTGCTGATTGATGATGAAGTCAGGAATGCTTGACTGCTGATTTTTAAATAAAACACAAGTAATTTTGCTAATTGCAATTAGATAACATGTTCTAGACATTTATGTAGTTTTTAATTATTTATGAATTTAATTTAGAAATATAGAATTTCAACTAGATAGTGTTAGTATATTAAAGCATAATTATTGTTTCAGAATGATCAGAGGACGAATAAAACATCTGCTACATTGCATGTTTTTTTTACTCTTCATTTTTTTTTTCCTCGTGTTTGCTGGGGCTATTAACCTGGATGATAATGAAAAAGAATTCATTGATCCTTGGGAGAATTATGGAGTTTTTGGTGCACTAATATTGTATATCCTAAGACTTCTGACTTTACTTACAATACCACAGGTGCTCTGCAATTTTGCTGGCCTAACTTTATTCAATGCTTTTCCTGGAAAAATTCGTCTGAAAAGCTCACCATTACTTGCTCCCTTTATTTGTATAAGAGTGGTCACAAGAGGGGATTTCCCAAAACTGGTAAAAGATAATGTGAATAGGAACATGAATAAGTGTATAGATGTTGGCATGGAGAACTTTATGATAGAAGTTGTGACTGACAAAGCTATAAATTTGCCGAAACACCGAAAAGTAAGAGAAGTAGTAGTTCCATCAGATTATCAGACTAAATCTGGAGCTTTATTCAAGGCGCGAGCCCTACAATATTGTTTAGAAGATCAAGTGAACATACTGACAGAGACTGATTGGATTGTACATTTAGATGAAGAGACTCTTTTGACAGAAAATTCTTTAAGGGGAATTTTAAATTTTGTTATGGATGGACAGTATCAATTTGGTCAAGGTCTCATCACTTATGCCAATGAACAGATTGTAAATTGGTTGACAACATTAGCAGATAGTTTCAGAGTTGCTGATGATATGGGCAAGCTAAGGCTGCAATTTTATCTATTCCATAAACCACTGTTTAGTTGGAAAGGATCTTATGTAGTAACACAAGTAAGTTTGTTTTTAATATAATAAATGTAATGTAATTAAAATACATAGTATTAAATAGCTGTAATTGTTCTACTTCTACTTACTTCATCTTTTTTACTAGGTAAGTGCAGAGAAGAAAGTATCTTTTGATAATGGCCTCGATGGATCAGTGGCTGAAGATTGTTTTTTTGCCATGAAGGCATATAAGGAAGGCTACACATTTAATTTTGTTGAAGGAGAAATGTGGGAAAAATCCCCCTTTACTCTTTGGGATTTCATGCAGCAACGAAAAAGATGGATTCAAGGTATACTTTTAGTGGTACATTCCAAAGAAATACCTTTAGTTAATAATGTATTCTTAGCAATTTCTTGTTACTCTTGGGTAACACTCCCACTATCAACAAGTAATGTTGTTTTGGCTGCTTTATGTCCAATTCCATGTCCTCAATTTTTAGACATTGCTTGTGGATTTACAGCAGCTGTTAACATTTATATGTACATTTTTGGAGTCATCAAGTCATTTCCTGTACACAGATTTGGACCATTAAAGTTTATACTATTTGTTGGGGGAGCTTTGGCTACTATTCCATTAAACATAGTTATTGAAAATATTGCAGTTATTTGGGGAATGTTAGGAAAAAAGCACAAATTTTATATTGTTAACAAAGAAATTAAAACACCTGTTACTGTGTGATTTTTCAGTATGTTATTGAGATTACTAAATTAAACCATAAAATACATATTACTCTTTGCTAGTAACTGCACATTGATATGCACAATAATTGTTATGTATTCTATACAACAATTATTATGTATTAGGAAAAATACTAATTTTAAATTTAATTTAAAAGAGGGAAACTGAATTGATTCAAAGTTATATAAAGAAAGTTTTTTTTTGTTACCATTTAATTTTACTTATTGATATAAAAAATTCATATGTACAAATGGTAAAAATTATAATACTAATTAATAATTTTTATATAATAGTTAAATTCTTAAAAAGCTAAATTATTGTTAAGCTAACTTTATAATTATTTATTGATATTTGTTAGTTTTAGTAACAGCAGCACTTAATTTATTTTAATAGGTACACATGGTGCAATAATGTGACAGGTAGAATCTGAAAGCATACCATAAATTCATGTAAATCACATATACTCTTGTATTATATAGCACACACACACATATATATATATATATATATTATATAGCAGTAGAAAATTAGAAAAGTCACAAACACCTTTGCTTGAAAAATGATTGTAATGAAAGTTTGGATAGTAAATCTAATGAAGCGCATTAAATTAAATTTTTATTTGTTAACGTTTTTAATTTTGTGGCACAAATACCAGTACAATGTATGACAATTTTCTTATGTGATAAAATATGCACTATCAATTAGACTTAATTATAATTTTATTTCCAAACAGAATTTGCAGGTCAATTTAGTACAAGGTTTAATAACAAGTACCTTAATACTAGTTTTTGACTGGTCACAAAATAATAGATTGTTGAACCTAAATCACAAAGCTTATTATATGAAAACTGCTTTTAATTAGAATGTTTTGAGAACAAGTTTGCATGTGAATTTTAAATTGATAAATAATTATAGCATAAAAATCTTAATTGATATTTTTAAGACCTCAGATATGTGGTATTTACTTTATTTATTTATATAGATAAATGAACATAAGTAATTTGGTCGATTTGATGCACTGTAGTTAATGTCTGAGACTATTTGACATAATGTTAATGATGATAAATATTAATAAAATTTTAAAATATTTGGTGTTTCGTAATATTGTTATAATTGTGTCATGGTATTTCCTAAATAAATAAATTTAAATTATGGGGCAAGAGCTTGTGTTTGGCTAATAATCTTATTTGGTCATCATTACTGGCTGATAACAAATGCAAGTGGAAAACTAGATCGAAATGACCAATATTAATTGTTATTTATATAATAGCATTATAGTACAGACTTATTCATAATTTGCGTAGGTATCTCACTAGTCATAAAATTTATAAAAATAAGTATCCGTAGGTTAATTTATTGTGGCGTGTATTTACTATTACAGTCTTTTTATTTTTCTGTGTAGGAGATTGTAAACCCACTTTGATGACAGTTTGAAGAGTTAATATTTAAAAAAAAAACTTTCAAAACAATATGTTGTGCAATTATTTTCATCCATATTCTTTTAATGAAGACATAGCATAAATCTAATTTAGTCATGTTTGAAGAATTTTTAGTATTATTGTCTGCAAAAAAGTGTTTCTACAAATGTATAATAAAAATAAGAATGTTGCGAATGATTGCTATTAATTTTGTACCTAACTAGTTGGAAGTGTTTGAAAATTGTAATTATATGATTAGTTATCTTAAATTGAATTGAAGATTGTAATTATTTTTGAACAAGTTAAATTGACTGCATATGATTTGTTTTAGTAGTGTGACATAAAGTTACTTAAACTTATTTAGATAGTATTTAGTGAACCCTGACTACTCTTTGCTATTATTGATGAAAAATATAAAATTTACTTCCTGTTTCATAATTTTATTCAATCACATCCTCTGTTAAATCTTAATCTGATGGTAAAGGACAAGTGCAAAGCGGGGTTAAGTGAAGACAGTTTGTGAGGGCCCAATATACCAGCGAGGTACCCTCTGACTACAACAAAAACATCCTCTGTCGAGTTGTAGAAGTAAAAGACTTTAATAAACTTTAATGCTGTAGTAATGTAGATATTACTACTAAAAGAACCACACTCAAGTCGTCGTGGCCTAAGGGATAAGACGTCCGGTGCATTCGTTTTGAGCGATGCACCTGTGTTCGAATCCCGGGCGAGTACCAATTTTTCTAATGAAATACGTACTCAACAAATGTTCACGATTGACTTCCACGGTGAATGAATAACATCGTGTAATAAAAGTGAAACCCGCAAAATTATTATTTGTGTAATTACTGGTGGTATGACCTCTTGTGAGTCCGCGCGGGTAGGTACCACCGCCCTGCCTATTTATGCCGTAAAGCAGTAATGCGTTTCGGTTTGAAGGGTGGGGCAGCCGTTGTAACTATACTGAGATCTTAGAACTTATATCTCAAGGTGGGTGGCGCATTTACGTTGTAGATGTCCATGGGCTCCAGTAACCACTTAACATCAGGTGGGCTGTGAGCTCATTCACCCATCTAAAAAAAAAAAATGAATTTTGTTTTTGTTTTTTTTGGTAGTATGACTGAGGGACAATTTACTATCCTTTTTTATTGTTTATCTTGGCACATGAGAATATGGCTCACCTGATTGTAAATGGGCACCCTCGATGGCATTCAGCAATGCCAGGGCCACATCTAATTGCTACCTACTACTGAGTACTCCTCGAATCTCGAACAAGAAAAACGTCAAAGCCCTCAGAAAGTCTTGCAAAGAGGGATTCATTTCAAAGTCGTACGTACCTATTCAAAAGCACGATTCCTGAGAACAGGATTACCGACAATCTGAATGGCTCTTTCGTATTGAGTTAAATGGGACCTGGTGTTTGAGAGCACCAGCCCAGAAATGGCTGCATTGCCAAGCCAACTTCGATTTAACTTCCCAGCTAAAACTCTAAGATTCCATTACTCTTGGGATACATCCTAATGAAGGTGTAAGCCAAGTTTTCTTCAAAATTTTTCATTATAAGATACAATAGTCTGTAGTAATAATATCAGAAAAGAAAAGATTAGAAAATACATAGCTTATTGAACGAAAAAAATCCAACTTGATTTGCTTTCTCTGACGTGGCAATATGTCCGCCCGAAGCGCCCTCACGCTCTCCGACCCCCTCACAGATGTAAATATCAAACACAAGTTCGGAAGATGTATGTATGCTATAATAGTAAATGATACCGATGGAAATTACTGGTAACATTTGCATCGCAGTCGTAAGTTTTATTAAAAAAAAAAAAAAAAAAGGCGTAAGTTTTGGTAGTATCTTAATTACTTTTCCTGTCCAACCCTATTTCCTAAACCCTAGTTCTAGTGGCTCTCCGAATTACGGCTAGTAAGAAAATATATGAGACTGGCATATGATATATGAGACTGATAATTGAAAACACTTGAATCGTAAGCAATTATCATACCTAAACTTTATAGTGTCATTCGGTCTTCATAAATACAGTTCTATATCTTATCAACGTTGTAAGGTACTTAATCATTTTTCCATTGTTGTTCAAAGGTTTATCTATTATAAGTTATGGGAGGGGGAAGATTACAATGTGAATAGTTTTGATTTATCAGTAAAGTTAGTAAAGCAGAATCCAGTTAAATGCTAGATTATGATTCGATATTTGTAGTCGGTAAATATTACGACCAATTTTTAACTCTTTTTTTTTTACTAAATCGAAATCGGCTTTTGTGATTCAATGGTTACCAAAGTCAAATTTATGAAATCCTCAATTACTAATATACATTTAAATACATATGAAAGGAATGAATGAAAGGGAATGAAACAAGATGAGATGAAATGAAATAATATGAAATCTTAACTTATTAGAATGGTTGGAATTTACTGGCATCGGAGATTTTTTGACCATTTATATATGAATAGGTATACGATAAAAAAGATAATACTAACATTAGTATAAATTGTATTATGACTAATACAAAATCCGGCTTATACAATGATTGAAATTGCACACTGATTATTCTTTCAATTGGAATTTGATAAAAATATGATGAATAAGCAAAAGATAAATTAGGCGCACGTTAACACCTGTTTACCGGTTTTAAACAAAAATTATGACACCCATACCAAAATAATTTTGAAGTTATCATGGTTCAAAAAATAAGACGCCCGGTGGATTCGCATCCAGCGATACTTTGCTAATAATATGTGAAATGGCACAAAATCGAAAGAAGATTTTAAAATAATATTGGTACCTACGTGTTCCAAATTCAAAATAATTAAAAGATGAAAAAAAAGATAAGTTTTTATTTAACAGTATTTATGGCCAGGCTAGCTAAATGGCATTTAATAAAAGGTAGAGTGGAAGACAAAAATGTGCTAGGTATAGGGAGTGCCCTGAGGTATTTTTTTGAATGAGCACATTATCATTTCTTTTTTAACAGAACACTACCAGGCCGCAGTTCATCCCTTCTATCGGACCACAGGGATTATCGGCAGGATGTTTCCAAAGACTATAAAATATTTCGATACCGCGCACTATCTGTCTCCCGAATCAACCTCCTGAGCTTTATGACGCTATCTAACGCTAACGGTTGATAACTGTTAGTTTAAAAAAAATACCTAAATATTTAAGTCAGTTTTGAAATGTATTCAGTGAATAATGGTGGGGTCCTATCAAGAATTCCAAAACATTTTGTGGCTTCAAGTCTTCAGTTCTGTGGTCTTTTCTCTGATTTTTTTAAAGGTATCTACACTATCTACGAGTTTCGCACAGGCTTAAGAAATATTATGTTTAAGTGTATTTCCATTTTTATTCAAACAATCATATGGATTGGATAGTTTAATTATTCAATCAACAAATGAGCTACAATTTCGTTTTTATTCTCTATAATAATTTTGAGAGGAAAATCAAGAATTATCGGTGACGAGCAGATGATTGTGGAGATTAAGGGTAAACTGTAATGAGATTAGCACCATTGTACCAATCTTAATGCTGGCTTCTCTAAAATCTAAATCAGACAACAAAAACAACAGTTTTGCTATCTAAATTATACGAGATCACAACGCACCTGACAGTTGGTGGTCACTGTCGCTCAAAAACAACAGTAATGCCAGAAGCACAACCAAAATAGATCAGCCTTTTACAATATATTCCTGAAACTATACTAAATTATACTCTTCTGTAGTAGGTTCTAATTAGTTTCAGAATAAGTATTTATTTTAAATTACATTATCTACTACGCAGACATACTAATGATTCACTCGGTGCTAAGTATTTACCGAAACCTTTAAACATAGTGAATGCCTCAGCCCACATTGAATAAAGAAAATCCTAATTCAATACTTTACTATATGTACCTATGAGTAGAAAAATGAATATTATTTTTAGCTCCATAGTAAATGTAGGTATTATATTTTATGGTTGCAATTAAATACTTACATTGAAGTACTGATACAGTTCATAAGTAAACAATCACTAGGCTATTACGGTGAGTAGGTACTCTGATCGAAGGCAATCTATTAAAAGTTTGTGGACAAGCGACCGTTGTGATTGATTGAACAGCTTATTTTATTAGCTTTACGTGTCACAGGGGGCTAATAGAGCAGGATTCGTTAGGCGATGGACTTTCCGATTTTTAAATCTTCAGATCTAAATGTAGGTACCATAAAAAAAAATATTCGGTTTTTTGGGCCGAAAGGGTAAAACGTCATGTCAACTCGTTTTTAGCCGAATATTTTATTGTAAACGAAAAAAAAAACATAGAGATATTGTAAGGATATCTTAGCTTCTTTACTAAAATTATAAAATATGTGAAAGGACATAAATTAGATTGCATCAATCATGTAAAATGGCCATTAAAATTTTACGTAAATAATATTATTTATAATCTGGATTAACATATAGAATAATTCTTATCATAGTGAAAAATATGACGCGGGCAACTCCTAGCTAATTCGCTATTTATAATGAATATGACAGTGTGTTCGCTGGTTCATTACTTTATTAAACAACGGCTCTACAAATCGACTGGTAGCTTATGCACCAGAGAGTGATAGAAGCAACTTTTTAATGCGGAAAAACAATATGTTTTATTCTTTTTTAAATACAAATTGAACGCGGGGGAAACCACGGAGCAAGCGCGGTTTGTTATAATTTAATTAATCTGAAGTACTCGTGTTGCAGCCTTGATAATATTATACGTATGTAGTTATTTATGACTTATATTTGATAGATATAACGGCAATCGAAATATGACGAAATTGTTCTGACGTAAATTCTATTAGCCGATCTAAAGATAGGAAATAATTTTGATTTTCAAAAAATTAATATCGATTACTTTATTCAAAATAATGTATTCTTTCTTATTCTTATAATAGTTAAAAAAAATCTGTTATTAGTTTTGTTTAAAAATGTTTTATTTTAAGGTAGTTATTAATTTTTAAAGTAAACTCATGGGTCATCTGAGTTAGATGGGATTCAGATTCTACAGAATTCAGATGACCCATACATTTCATCAAAATTCAAACAAATTGTTCAAACAAACTCAGACCAATCTAGACTCTTCCATTAATAAGCGGATCTGTATAAAATATGTATGTATCACAGGCAAGTCATTCTTTAAAGGGATTACTTCGACGAAGCCTTAACTGTGCGTTCGTGACCTGTTTGCTGTCGATGGCGCATGCTTATATGCTTGATGTTGTCTGTAAGTTAACTTCGCTTAATTTAATAATAGTACTTGTAGTAATGGTAATNAGACCAATCTAGACTCTTCCATTAATAAGCGGATCTGTATAAAATATGTATGTATCACAGGCAAGTCATTCTTTAAAGGGATTACTTCGACGAAGCCTTAACTGTGCGTTCGTGACCTGTTTGCTGTCGATGGCGCATGCTTATATGCTTGATGTTGTCTGTAAGTTAACTTCGCTTAATTTAATAATAGTACTTGTAGTAATGGTAATCTT